AATGAGCTGCGACGAAAGAGGGAGGCGAAACCATCGTCGTCTGTGCCTTTTGTCCACGAGGTCACAAAGGAAAATGTTGAAACGGTGAAGATTGCTCCATCTAAATCTTCAGGTCAGTTACTTGTTGGTCAGAATACACAATACCTAATTATCTGTACCATGGGCAAATTGAAACAATATATATATATAATCTCAAATTACCCGCAAATATACTTAGTCGAACACACTGTTTTTATTTTGTGGCCCAGTTTACAAACGGTTCAGTTGGCAAACACATTTTTGGGCCCTGTAAGTAAACCATTGCTAGCGGTCCTGTTATCACAAACGGAATAAACACGCACGCCTCGGTTCCGTTGTAAATTGTCCACTCGATGAAGTGAAAAGGGAAATTTCACACAGTGTTTGTATGCAAGCAGTTAGTCCACTTTCCATACGTAGCATCGAAGATTGTAATGACATGCGAGTCATGCTTTTCTTTCCCTCTTTATCCTTTAGGCCGAAGAAAATCTGTGGCTCCCCAGGAACTCAACAAAAGCAACAAAAGACTGTCTCATGTTGTCAAGCCCCCTGAAATGCAGACCAAGAAGGGCAAGGTTAGTCACTTGTACTCTGAAAACTTTGAACTTTGAACGGAGCTTTTCACTGTGCAATGAACATTGACATTGTGCGCTCACTTTCCAAGTTCAAAGAATCATCCCGACCCAACCAGCAATTTTACGAAATGATCCAGGACTTCCGCAAGACGATGGAAACCATCCCATTATCAGTCACCAATGTGGTATGTTTATAATTGAACACGATCTGAAGTAAACATTAGAATTCTAACGATGGTATTTTATAATTTATTTGCTTTTTTAATTGCTTCTGTGTTTTGTTTTAAGATTGAGCCTCACAGGATTTGTGTTTGCATCCGCAAACGTCCAATGAACAAACAAGGTGCGTACCAAGTTGCGCCGGTGCTAAAAGTGGAGATGTCACGCCTTTCCCAAGCCTGAAATTAACATTTGTCTCCTCTGGAATAGAGCTGAATAGAAGGGAGATCGATGTGGTCTCCGTGCCTGGGAGAGGCGCTCTGCTGGTTCACGAGCCAAAGCAAAAAGTGGACCTGACCAAGTACTTGGACAATCAGATCTTCCAGTTCGACTATTCTTTTGATGAGACATCCACCAATGACTTGGTCTACAGGTAAGGCCAGACGCCCTCAGGACAGCATAGATTTGAACACAAACGGTGCAGCAACGCACTCAGACAACATTCTCACACATTCGGATTATGTGTATGATCTTGCAGCGTTGTGTTTACCAACCGCTCTTTATGCTGTCCAGGTTCACAGCAAAGCCTTTGGTGCAGTCCATCTTCGAAGGAGGCATGGCCACATGTTTCGCCTATGGGCAGACAGGAAGTGGGAAAACTCATGTGAGTGTCTTGCCGATCGAGGAGCGAAAAGGTGGTGCTGTGGCTTGATTCGTTTTCTGCTCGCACAGACCATGGGCGGTGATTTCTCGGGGAAGCAGCAGAATTGCTCCAAGGGAATCTACGCCTTAGCAGGTGGGGACTCCGGGACAACAAATCCCAAGCCCATTTCATGCCTGTTGAATTTCCCGGCACGTTTCTTTTAGCCCAGGATGTTTTCGCCCACCTCGGTCAAAGGAGGTACGCCAACCTGAATCTGTCTGCTTACGTCAGCTTCTTTGAGATCTACAATGGCAAAGTAAGCCGTAGTGTGCGTGTGTCCTTTTCTTTTTTTTCTCTGCTACTCATTTACTCATTCGCAGTCCTTTCTGTTCTTCCTCCTATTTCTCACATTTGTTCTCGCTCATTCATATGTGGGTTGGTTCTATTGTTTGCTCCTTGTCGGAAGTATTTATCTGGTGTGTGATGAATGGATGTCTGCAGGTGTACGACCTGCTGAATAAGAAGACCATGCTGCGGGTGCTGCAGGATGAGCATCAGCAGGTGCAGGTGGTGGATCTGAAGGAGGTCTACGTGCCCTCGGCGGACGAGGTCATTAAGATGATACAGCTGGGCAGCGCGAGCAGGTATGAAATGATTTCAAGGTTCCCATGACAGCAGAATTAAAAAAAAAAATCCACAGTTTTATGCGGAACAGATCAAAATGAGTATGTGACGAAATTGCCATATCTGTTCGGTACTACTTGCTTTACAGCTGAGAACCGAGAACTGGTTTTTCATTCCTCATCCTAAGGATTACTGTACTTGTACAAACCATTTAAAAAGACAATTTCCAAATATATTTTCCCCTTTCAATTGATTGCGATGCCCATCCCTACTACAGAAGTCAACGGGTCTGCCTTCCTGTCTCCTCTCCAGAACATTTGGTCAGACCTCGGCCAATGCCAACTCCTCGCGCTCCCACGCCATCCTCCAGATCATCCTCAGACGCAACGACCGCGCCTCCACGCTGCACGGCAAGTTCTCCCTTGTCGACTTGGCGGGCAACGAGCGGGGCATAGACGTCAACAGCAACGACCGCGCCACCTTGGTGGAGACGGCCGAGATCAACCGCAGCCTCCTGGCCCTCAAGGTGCAATCTTAACTCGGAAGCTGTCGGTCTCGGGGAGTTGACGACATGCCATTTGAACCCGTTGTTAAATGTTTTTGTTTGATTCCACCCTTATCGCAGGAGTGTATCCGTTCGTTGGGCATGAACAGCGATCACATTCCTTTCAGGATGAGCACTTTAACCAAGGTCCTCCGAGATTCCTTCATTGGAGAGAATTCGAGAACCTGCATGGTAGGTGAACGTTCTGGACGTACAGAAAACTGTGACTGCAAAGCGCGAGAGAATAATCAAACTCTGGATTTAGTGACCCGTTTAGTGATTTGATTGCCCTTTTCGTAGAAAAATGACAACTGTGCCTATCTTGCTTTTCTCCAAATCAGATCGCAATGGTGTCACCAGGAATGGCTTCTTGCGAATGCACAATGAATACACTACGTTATGCCGACAGGTACGCTTTCAACTTGGTCTCAAATGACAAAAATGTCTCCTTGGAAAGATTTGAATGTTGCTTGCTTCAATTGGCTCAACCAGACAATATATTTATTTTTTTGGGACAGAGTGAAGGAGCTGAATGTCAAGTCCAAGACCAGTGCGGAGGCCGAAACACTGGAACCAACAAACTGCTCTTCAGACGAGGTTGGCACGCTCATCTTGTTGCTTTGAAGTGGACATGACAAAGATTTTCATGGCTCAAACACATGTTGGGACTAAATATGTTCATTTGTGTTGAAGGACACTACTGCAGTCGCCACAGTGTATGATGCCTTAAGCCATGTGGCCGATCTGGAGGAAAATGTCTACGTAGAGCTTCAGGTAGCCTTTCTTCAATTTGCAACATATTTTGACGATCGGCATGAAAATGACTATCATCTTTAATGCTTTCTATGTTTGCTTTAAGAGCATTCATCAAAGAGTGAAAGAACTGTATGAGTCCATGGAGGAGCCCTCATTTGACATTGAGGCGGCTCTCCCCAACCTCATGGACTTCTCCCAGTTCTCCAAGTTAAGAGGTTTGTGCAAATCACATGAAATTCACTCATTCTCAAGTGGAGAACGTGAGATTAACAAAAAAAATAAAAAATTAACGCATGTGTTGCTTCAATCCCACCCACAGAAATATTGCTGTCATTGCGTACTGCTTTGGTGGAGGAGAGGGCCCGACTCGGCCATTGAGTTACAAATTTCATCGTTTGTCAATTAAATTACCTGTTCTTATTTTTACTCGGTTGTATTAAATAAAATGTGGGCCTTAATTAACAAAAGATACTGTTCAACTTGTTGACTGCTGAACTTTGTGCCTGTTTCTTGATGACGTGACCGGAAATTTGGAAAGAGGGAGTTTGCATGATGATGTCCCCTCAAGGCCAGCAGGTCGTTATGCCAGGGTTCAAACGCGTCCTTGAAAACCTGCAATAGGATTGACCAATTTTCCTGTCATGGAAAAGAGTAAAATGTTTCCTGCCCCTGCTTCTTTCTGCGTTGTGGGTGAACATAAATGGGTAAAACAGACATGTATGTCTGTTTCCAGCTGCCTTTCATGGGCAACACTGAGTTCATCACACTTTTCTGCTTCATCTCTGTTTCGAGCTGGCATAGCGTCCCCTCGTGCCGCTACCAACCAATCAAATTGGACAGTCCTTCACAACAGTTCTGCTGCCCAGTGCTTCCATATGACTTTAAAAAAAAAAACACTTCTCCAAAGGTTGGGGGTGGAAATGTATTTGTGTGCTGTGCACTTGACTCGTGCTATGGCAGATGAAGAAGCCCTGGAAAATAATTTCAAGAAAAGAGTGGGAACAGTTGTGTGGGGGCTCATGTGAACAGTCAATACTCTATAATAACATGGTTGTCTTTCTTGGTGTAGAGATGTGTTTCAATTAAATACACATAATACACAGCATACAGTTTTATTTTTCCCAAATTGGCCCGATGATTCAGTTATCTCTCCCACTTGGTGCTGTATTGTTGTGGAAATCAACCCCTTAGGGCTTAAAATACACGTTTTGCATTTGTACTCATAATTGTGCATCAAGGGGGACTATTCATAAGTGGTTGGTAAATTATAATGATGAAAAATAAGACCAATGGGTGATAAGCAGTGTGCGCCGCATCTGGTCGTACCTGACATTTCAACTCAGCACTGAGCGCATCATTCCGTTCACTTCCTTGTTCTCCACCAATCACATAACTCGCATACAGTCACGACGATCAAAGTTCTTTTAAAATCCCTCGGAATTCAGACAACAGGTTAACATCCAGTTTACTCTCAACTGTTCCAACCAACATGAATCCAGTCCTTATCAAATAAATATTAAGACCTTTTTCACTTCAACTTCACTTAGCCCCGACCGCCACCCCCGACCCTTATGTAATGACAACTACAAACTCTAGGATGTGCTAAACTTAAGAGGCAAGCGGTTTACGGTGATGATTCGTTAGAGAAGAAGACTAGCGACCAATTATAAACCAACCGTCTCATCCGATTCAACTGTCACTCACTCGGGTTCGGTCGAGTGGGGAAACACTCTACCCGGAAAGAAATGGCGATGAAGTGGATTCGCTTCTCTTTCCTCGCCCTCGCTGTCTTGTCGCTGTGCCCCGACGCGTCCGGTGACAGCAGCAGCGCCGTGAAGAAGATGAAAATGCAGTTCGCTGCCGGCCCGTTGCTCAAGTTTCAGATTTGGTAAGAGAGACGGAATATGGCGAGTCATCGCGAGCTAGCACGACGATGGTAGCTAAGGCTAACTGTTTTTAAAATCGAGCGTCTTTTTGAATCGTTAACCTTGGAGTAACACGCACCAAATCATTTGTGTCCTCGTTACAATGTTCAAATTCGGGGCGAGTATTTTATGTACTTTTGTCAGTTCTTGTTGAGGCCCTTCGGAGTGTTGACAGGGGCCAAAACGGTTTACGACAGAGTAGCGACGTAAGCCGAATGTCGACGCACCTGCTGTAGTCACATGTTGCATTCATAATTGCAGTAAATAGTTGTATGACAATCTTTTTTTACTTGAATGTAGCACAACCAAACAACAAATCGCGAGTCCGGCCAGTGGCGATCCTTGCTTGAATGGTACACCGCCGCGAACCCACTTAAACCACCACCATTTACACACCAATAGAAAAACCCTGGAGTTGAGTTAAATATTTTCTGTAAAATACATCATTTATAAACGAGAAGACTTGCACCAGCAAAGAAAAATTGAAAGGAAGAAAACAGAAGAAATGTCGTATTTTACAAATAAAATCTTAAACGAACCTTATTGCAATCATTGAGATTTTGTTTCTCAGCGTGTTTGCTTTGTTTCATGTTTAGATTTCACAAGATTTATTGCGGCTGCACATATTCCGCGTGCCAGAAACCATTACATACAACAAATGTTCTCCAGAGAAGTTAGCTCTGTAAGAGTTCCAGGTTAAAGTTTACACTGGAGCCGGAAGAATAGCAGTCTACTCTTGAAAACAGTTTGTAAAAACTGAATGTTTGTGTCCTGGCAGCATCTCCTGAGGGTACAAGCGGATGTTTGAGGAGTACACGCAGGCCTTGTACCAGCGGTACCCGGACATCCGCATCGAGGGGGAGAATTACCTTCCCATCCCCGCCTATCGGTGAGAGATTATCTGACAAATTACGGGCGTCTTGTAATCTGCTTTGTTAAAAGTGTCTGGCAGGACGACCCGGATTATTGTCCATTGAAGAAATTCTCATGAAAGCTGTTTGAATGTGAACACGCGTTAAATTAAAGGAGATAAACCTTTCAATTCTTCAGTGTCAAATAACATGTCTGACACGCTCTTTGATAAAATACCCCAAGGGGTAGAAAAAAAAATTAAAGAAAAGAATTTAAAAACGGTGACTACTCCGAATTAGTGGCTAAATAAGCCTTCGGAGTTTGAACAGTAGGGATATATTTTTGAAAGCCTTTGCTTGCTCGGAAACAAGCTAACAAATTAAATCTCGGCCTTTTATCTGTGCTGCTGTCCATGTGCCTTCAAGTGTGTTATCAACAAAGATCAGAGTCACGTGCGTCAAGATAGCATGAATGAAGTTGAACACGTGGTTGATTTTAATCCCTGGTTATTGTCTTTGTTGCCCCCCCCCAAGGCACTTTGCTTCCTTTCTGTCTGTCTTCAAACTGCTAGTGATTGGGATGATCATTATCGGCAAGGACCCGTTCGCTCTCTTTGGCGTGCAAGCCCCGGGGATCTGGGAGTGGGGCCAGGGAAATAAGGTACGTGATTGTTGTGGTTGAAGTCTGCTGTTTTGGTTCCTTTCTTTAGTTGGTGGACGTCCTCAAGGGTGTTGGCTGAAGGACGTGTCGCGTGCCGGGTACTCATAAAGCCCCACGGGAGTTAATTAGCCTTCAAGAGTAATGTTTGCGAGCGCTCTACGGACCGGGGCTCACATTTGTGTCAGAGGCTCAGAAGGAACAGCGAGTGTTGTGATAGGCTAGCCGCTCTTGGGCTAAATCCGGTTGTATTTCAACGTTTCTTTCAGATATACGCCTGCATGATGGTGTTCTTTCTCAGCAACATGATTGAAAACCAGTTGATGTCCACGGGAGCTTTTGAAATAACATTTAATGGTAAGTCCCACAAGTGCATTTTGTTGTTCAAAATTGGATTTTTTTTTTAATCCGATTGTGTTCATCAATGAGAATCAACAGAATAATGGTTTGTAAAAATATTCGACAGCTGCAACCCTATTGTGTGTGTGTGTGTTTGTGTGTGTGCGCTTGTAGATGTGCCAGTATGGTCCAAACTCGAGTCGGGCCACCTGCCCTCCATGCAGCAGCTGGTGCAGATCCTGGACAATGAAATGAAGATGAACGTTCACATGAACACAAAGCCGCTCCACCACTCCTAACAACGCTCCTCACTGTGTAGGCCGCAGCCGAAAGCCCCTCCGTGTAAGGACGCTGCCATCTTCCTACTATTTGCGTTTCTGCTCTTTCTAATCCACCGTTTCTCCCCCCACCCCCTTCCGCACCCCTCCAGGTCTGAGGTGGGCCTCTCGCAGGGCTGTGACGTGATGTTTATGAAGGTCTGCGCTGAAGGCAGGACCACTGCTAGCACAGACTGGATGACCCCTCCGCCCCCACACACAACACAGCCCTCAGAGATGATCCGCCCCCGACAGCAGAGCGGGCTTGATGGCGACACTGCCAACCAGTCGGTCATTTTCTTGAACTATTCACTGAACATTTGATCCAAGCAAAAAGTCGAATTACGAGTTTTACATGGTTGCGTATAAAGTAGTCCGATAAAACGTATAGCACCTGAGCCAAACGTACACGCTGCTTCAAAAGTCACCGTGCACGGACATTTTTTTGATAAGAGTGCATATGTACCGTCTGTATTATGCACTGAAATCTTCAAGTTGGCTATATTCAAGCTGTTAAATGACTTTTTGTCAACTCAAGTACATTAGAGAGGCGTTGGCTGTTCCTGCTTGAGCTTCTGGACCGAGTCCTCTCCGCTTCTCCAGGGGCTCAAGTCAGGGATTCCTGCACTTGAGTGCCAATTCCACCAATTCACGACATTGCGGTAATAAATCGGCACACACTCGCTTGTCGTTTTCTGTTCTGTTGTCTTTATTACTTGCCACACGCACACAGAGAGAACTCAACATGATCAGATATGGAATACCCATGAACTTCCTGCGTTCTATTTTTGCAACATGTCTTAAAATATACATTTTCAGTATCAAATATGTACCTCGTGTAGTCCAGATTGCATCACGTCTTCAAAATTCAAGTGCACGGTGACTTCTTGAGCATCCTGTCGAATTTACTCTCAATTTCTTGTCGTCAAAGTAGCTTCAGCCCTTGTCGAAAAGTGACTCGTCACGCTGTTGTCAAACTAACATCGGGTGGTTTGTTTTTTTTCTGCTATGATTTCTGAGTAATTTTTATATTTGCATAACTTGGAATGAGTTGATACAATGAATTAAAAACCTCTTGTGACTATGAAGCAGTCGGTGGGGTCTTCTTCCATTAGAGACAGTCCTGGAGGCAGCCCCTGATGAAGGCGCGTTCGTGCTGGCTCATCAGTACGTTGGTGCTGACCTCCAGGAGCTTTTTGCCGAAGACGCGGATGCTTTGGGCCGGCGTGCTCTTCTGGTGCAGAGGTGTCAGAAGACTCCAGTTGAGATGCTGGATACACAGGTGGATCTTCACCCGAGCGGCCAGCACGAACAGCTCGTCTTTGAGCAGCGAAGGTTCGCCCGCGGGCGTCTCTCTTGTGCATTTACACTGCAGGGGGGGGAAAGACGCATTTGCTCCTTAATGGAGCCGTCTGGATTTTTACATGCGCATTAATCTGACATTGGAAACGTTTATTTCAAAGTACGCATCAGAGAATCCATTTTCCAAAAGGTTTTGAGCACTAATGGGTTGGAGAACCCCCCTTCTATCAATTTTTAGAAGCTCCTCCGAGAGCCGTACTACATTTATGAAAAGCTTTCAACAAAATAACCACATTCAGTGCATTTGTTGACCTGATAGCAATTCCTTTTGAGGTTTTAATGGGGAATTTCCCGAACGTTGGAGACTACGTCGTCGTTACCTGAGCGCTGCAGCTACCCACGCTACAGCGTGCCTGTTGACCGTGAGCCAGGAAGGAGACAAAAATTTGATCCTTCCCCAGGACCCGCACCCCGATGTGCTTATTGAGGGACAAGAAGAGAGGAGGCAGGTGAGGGGGCGGAAGCGTTTTCCAACTCCAGCGACGGACCCTGGCACCCGTCTCATCCAAACACTGACCACCGGAACTATTTAGGCTCAACCTAAAGCAAGCGGAGGATAAGCGGATGAATGGCAATGTTTTTTTTTTTTTTTTAACCCTCTGTTTACCATATGTTTCCGTTGCCGTGGTAACATGTTGCCTTGCCGTTAGCCTGGAAGATTGCTCGGATGGCTCTCGGGGGTGTCTGGTTGTTGTCGTACACGATGCAAACCCTTTCCTTCTTTTTGGTCACGACAAAGACGACGGCCAAGAGGTCTCCCGGGTAACTGTCGGCAACGATGAGTCCATGTGACTTGCCTACGTACAAAATTGTGTGCTCTGCGGTCAAAGGTATTTTGCAGAGAACGCATACTAGAGCTGAGCCGAGCCATCTGGGAACAGGTTCAGAAAGGTCCTGCCATCCATGTAAAATTTCTGGTGGAATTCTCCATCCTGTCAACACAGAAATGGTTCGAATAACTGAGTGATAAAAGTTAGCAAATATGATTTTGCATGAGAGCGAGAGTGTGTTTGTGCATGTGTTTTCTCCCCTTTTGATGACAGATGCCAAACAGAGGCGGCTTGTGGTCGCAAACGGACTCTCTGGCCTCTTCCTTTTTCAGTTGCACAACATTCTCCGCGACATTCTTGAGTGTCCAGCCGCCCTCTTCCGCAGAACCGCCGAGCCGGAAGCTGAGGATTTTGGCCTCTGAGGCTGTGAGTCAACAAACAACAATCCCGGGGCAATAATACATCCCTGAATAAAATGGGACCACGGATGAAATGTCTTTCTCCACTCACAAGGTTCCTGTTGGGAGGCGTCGTCGTCTCTCTTTAACCCCGCCAGTTCCCTGAGGCGACACGTTGCTTCCGTTCAAAGACTCAAATCGTTCATGTCTGTCGCAGGCTTTTTTTGTTTTGTTTTGGTTTAAAGTTTCTTACATCAGTCCACGTGAAAGGTCACTAAAATTTTGGGCGTTCTTTTTCTCTCTGCCGCTGAGCAGCGCCTCTACGGCTTTGTCTTCCCGCCTGTGCAAGTCCTCGTCCAGTTCGTCCTTCACCGAAGGTCTTTTCCTCACCAGGGCCATGCATAGCCTCCTGCGCTGGGCGCAGCAATAGCTTGGCACCGCCTGAGAAGGGTCAGGGCGGCACACACACACCCGCACGGTCGACCATGAGCTTTGCCCGATGGCACTTACGGTAAGAACACCCGCGTCCATTCTGTCTCACCTCCAGCTCGTCTTCCCATCTCACATCCAGTACGGGCCTGGCGGTTCTGTGGCAGTATTCACATTTTCTTGGACACTCAAATGGAGGCTGGGAGCATAAAAAGGAATGCTTCAAGAACTGTTTATCAGGGGAGGAGCTAAGATTAACCTGGGTTGCTAGCGGAAGTTCCAGAGAGTCTTTTCATGCGTGTGCACATGTATACACATTTTTTCCAAATCATATCTGCAAGCAAATTATTTTTGGGGATCATGGTTTAAAATCAGTTGCAGACGATTGAAGTGTTGTGAAATCAAGTGTTATGTGTTATGTCATCTTACACTTGAGAGGTGGGCGCACTCTCCCAACTATTTGTAAACAAACAAAAAGTCAATTTTCCATTTGATGCCCCCCCCCCCCTCCGCTTTACAGATGGTCCGATAGCGCTGTCAAATTTCATAGGAATACCTCCAAATGTGAGGCTGTGATGGAAAGTCGGGGGTTGTCAGACTCGCGGTGGTAGCTCAGGACTCCCGCTCTGATGCAGTGGGTGGGCTGGTCACAGAAAGCCTAATCGAGGGAGCATGTCACTCTGATCAATCGTGGAAGTGAAGAAACCAAATGATCTCAGCAGGCAGTCATATCCTGCCTGCTCGGTTTGTACTTACATAGTTGTTCAGGTCACGGAGGAGCTCGCAGATATCATATTCTAACTTTGCCACTGCATTTTCTACGGGCAAAATAGATTCCTTTTAGGGTGAAGTGGAAGCTGTAGTCAAAATTCTGAAGTGGTACAATTTGGGAGTTCAACCACAATTATTTGGGATGCAAATCTTGGACTTCAATCCGTTAACATCAGTGATAGTGTATATTTGCTGTGATTCTCAGTTCACATAAGTTTGAATGTGATTGATTCATTCCGAACGAAGCCACAACCTCAGTGAGAGGAGGGTGTGCACACTTGTGCAACTGCATTATTTCATTTATTTTTAATTTTCCTCTTGACAGGCAAATAAATCTTATATTTGGATTTTTTTTTTTGTATCCAGCTCAATAGGAGTCAGCCAGCGCCTCACTGGAAAAGTAACGTCACTGCAATGTTTTTTTTTCTTCAATTGAACAGGGGTGTGTAGACTTTTTACATCCATCGTAGATGTATTTCCCCCTTCTTCAGGAGAAGTTACTTGCGTCTTGGAGAAGACTCACTGGAAATGCTGGACCTCATCGTTTTCTGTTTTTTCTTCTTCCTCTCCACACTGCTCTTGCTTCTGGTGCAAAGCTTCTATCCTGCAGACCCAAGAGGATTTTTAAGATGCATTAATAAGCAAGTAGTTTGCATTAGCATGTCTGCCAAACAGCCATTTAGATTCTGGGTTTGAATCTCTTAGTCGCGTCGGATTTTCAGGCTTTTTATCTTCGTGCCCCCTGCGATTTACTTGTATAATAGATGAATGGACGCAACATTTTATGACAAGTAATATCATGTCTTGCGATTTCTTCTCAATTATGTTTGAGTAGTGTCAAGTGGATATGGCAGCAAAGTTGGAATCCATGTACTCCATACACATGCAAGTTCTTTAGATTGTAACATGAAACATAACGTAGAAAAAGAAGATAAAAGTTTGGTCAGGCGTTAAGGTGCAAGTCAACTCACCCACGCTCCAGGCATGCATGCAATAATGTTTCATACCCCCTATTGTTGTCAGTAACCATGGAGATGAACTACTTGTGGCTATGATGTGTTACCGTAGCGACCTCAATCTGATACAATGTCCAGTGGAGAGGGGTGTTAATTAGTAGCTCATTTTAGTTAATCACTTGTCTGTTCGTTTTCAAGTTAACCTGATCTCAACCAGCAATGTCCTGTTTGATTATCCACCCATTTACAGTATTTTCATCCTTACAAGCGTCGAGGGTGAGCTGCAATTTTTGGGATGTGGAAGGAACTTAGTCGGACAAAATTCACATGAAAATGCTATAACGCGCAGGAAGTCCGCAGCCGAGATTCAAACCCAAAATGAATATGCAAAAAAAAAAAAAAAAAAAAAAGAATGTACGAACCAATCTTGCCATGTGGTGGCTGCTCCAGAACGTTTAAGCAGCAGATTAATTTGGCTTTGTTTTCATGGAGAAATCCCTTTGATACACATTTAGTGGCCGAAACCTGGAAAAAGCAATGACATAACCTTTTACTTACCAAGAATAGCAAATGACTGAAACGGCATACTGCAAACCTTTGATTCGTACCTTCATTTATTGACCTGCGAACGTCACAAGCCCTTTTGAGAGCAACCGTTATCAGTTCAGATGCATGGTGGTATTCTCCGTCTCTCCAGCAGATGGCGACAATAAGCAAACTAATTGTGGTTTAACATTAGTAACACGAAAATAACGCCAATTTGGGACATTTATTTTCACCCTGCGCGGACTTCAAAGGGATATTACAGGATAGCACACGTTGGTTATTTTCGGTAGGTCAAATAAAGTTGAAAGAGTGATGAACAACAAGCATTTTGCGAGACGGGACTGTAGAGCAGAGTTGAACGTCGATGTGAAAGTGATTAAAACGCGAGTATGACGTCAGATTGGTCAAAAGGCAGGGGGCGGGGCGTAGGGTGAACGAAGTCCAAATAGTGACGTTGCTCGACCTAACTAGGCTTATCACAGCTATCTGTACTTATTTATTATTATTATAAAAATGTCCTATTATTATTATTTACTTTTCTCACTTTTTATTTTGACACAATATATGAAAAGCGTATAGCTCAAAATAACTATCCATGTTACAATTTCATATTTGATGTTACAAGCCTTCCGGCTCCGGCCTTCCTGTGTGGAATTTACATGTTCTCCCGGTGCCTGTGTGGGTTTTCACAGGGGTACTCCAGTTTCCTCTCACATTCCTAAAACATGTGTGACAGGTTAATGGAACACCCCAAATTGTCCCTAGGTGCGTGCCCGGATGATTGTTCGTCTGTGTGCTCTGCGATTGGCTGGCAACCAGTTCAGGGTGTACCCCGCTGACTGTCCGATGACAGCTGGTATTGAATGCTCCAGCACGCCCTTGTGAGGATAAAGCGGATAGGAAATAGATGGATGGATGGATGGATGTTACAAGCCCCGCCTTTTTTAACTCTGGTGCCCAGCCAGGTGTGACCAATTTGCAAATAATCAATTAATCCCTCCTACCCAGGCTTCTGATTGGTTGTTGCAGCCGCCACCAGTCACACTACCAGGAAGTGCTGCTCAATTCAAAAAGTAGCGCACACCTGGCACAGTCTGGCCTTGGCACGAGTTTCACGCATTTAGCAACAAGATGCACAAAGACAAAAACGCAAGTGCTACATTTGGCCAGATTACCGCACTGCTTATTTTAGCCTGTTTTTTGGCACACACGGTTGACTGCTATCGCCTGAAGAAGGCGGACAGAAGAAAATATGTTCCTGACGGCTTTCGGCGAGGTAAGATTATGTTTGGGAAAGTTCCTCAATGGGATCCTCCAATGCTGGATGAAGAAGCCAAGAAGTCAAACGCTTCAGTGGAGGATGAAGATGCTTATCAGGCTGATTCTGCAGGTATGAGTACATTTTTAAATTGCCCCATTTTCCAGCTCAGCTTATGTGTGTTTTTTTCACTTAATATGTTGCTTAGGAGGCTGGGCTGTGAACCCTCTGCCCGTGCAACCGCCTGCATCGCAGGAGGCCTCGTGGAGACGCATGACTTCCCTGCAGTGTGGAGATAACCACATGAAGCTCAGCGTCAGGAGACCAGGGCTAACCCATATGACAGTGCAGCAAGGTGAAGTGTCAAGCTTCGGAAAAAAAACTAAAATTGTCACGATCAGTTGAGTTTGATTGTCCCCCCCCACCCCCTTATCTCTTTATTCTGCAGCACCCAATGCACCTCCATTGCCTTTGCCTCTTGTGCCCTTAAACTGTGGCTACAATATGCACCGAAATTCCTTTGGGTTCCTCATGTATGTTCCGTATGGTGGTTGTTACATGCTTCAACAGGTAATGCTCACACAATGTCAGGTCTTAAATGTCCTCTCCAAATGGGAACAAGGGCAAGCCTGCAACAATTAGCTTCTCAATTTTTTTTTTTTTTATACTTTTGTCATCTACCCATACCCAGTGGTGCGCAGAGGTAACTGTGTCATTTCTTCCCCCCCCCCCAGGCTGGAAGTTACGTGCTTCCCATGTATTGGCAGGGAGTTCCAGTCATCCTCATGTGCACCAGACTGACTCCAACTGATGCCCCAAAGGTTACCAGTCCATTCCACTTTGATCAGATGGTCACCAAGGGGCCTGATGCTCAACATGTCCCCAAGTGGCCCCCGGTCGCCCAAGGTCCAGTCTCCCCACTTGGCATTTGGGCACCAGTTGACCCCCGCAGCCACCAGGCCCAGTCTCCGGTCATGAGCCCCAGGGCCCGATCTCACCATTCTGCGCCTCATGTGCCCAAGTGGCCGTTATTCCCCAAGTGGCCACCAATGCCCCATAGTCCAGGCTCCCAGCCTGGGCTTCAGAAACCCCCAATGTCTCAGGACCCCATGTTCAATTTTGGGCTGCAAGCACCTCGGAACCCATTTGTGTCGCAGTACCCCCACATGCCCAACATGCCCCACATGCCTCACATGCCCTATATGCAAAATCTGCCTCGCCCATACCCTGATCCCCAGTTGATGGGCCAGTACCCATATTTCAATCCCTCCCTCTGGAACTTCCCCGGACATCCAGCACCAGCTGGGAACAAGGACCCAAAAAATCCAGTTAAGACAGCAACTTTGTCAAAGGTTCCTACTTCTATCCCTCCAACGCAGACAACAACCACCCCGCCATCGACCACAACTGCGGCAACAGCCGCTGAGACCACGCCGTTACCGTACAACCCATTGTACCAATTTCCCCCTGAGCTGATGCACTATATCTCCTATGAGGACTTGCTTGCTGCAATGTATGCTAATCAGTGAAAATGACTCCAATAAATTCTCTAAACAAGCTGCTATCATTTGTAACATTTCATGGTTGTTGCCAAATTTCTTCACTGATTTCAGAGAAGTGAATGAATTTGCATGCTTTAATCTGAAAGTGACAACGTATGAGTTGGATTTTGGTCAGCCTAGAGCTCCCAACTGCAAACGTAGACTTTTTGTTTTTGTTTTTTTGTTTAACTTTAATTTAGGTTTCATACCCAAATGTGTATCCGAAGCATAAGGGTTAGTTTGTCATGCTACATGCAAGATGGCGGGAAAATAGTGTGCTGACTTATTTTCAGTGGAATCATGCACCATCATTGCGTCAACCTGGAAAGTTGTTACAAGGATCAATTTAGTTTTGAGTAACTCAAGTGATGAGGGCAAGTTGCTATGGTGATAATTTGAAGACACTGCGCCCTCCGCCCACTCCAAGTAATTTTTCTACATTTAATGTTTGAAGATACAAGCTGAAAAATGTACAGATTGAACAAGTGAAATATATACACTTGCGTGAAACTCAACTGTTTGTGTTTTTGGGGCGTGTCTAAAACAGGACCCACTTGGGCTTCCCGAGTTGCCCTCCCTAACTACATAACGGACCGCCCTCATTTCATCATTCGCAAATGTGTTTCTTATGACTTGACCCATTTCTACCGCTACAGCATGTAGTTTTCTAAGAAGCTACGTTAACAGTATCTGCTGTGTAAACCCATGCGTAGCGTAAGGCAGGGTATTGCTACATAATCCTGATCGAGACTAAAGTTCTATTTTTTTTTTTTTACTGGTGTTAAGAGCGATTTTATCTTTTTTCTTCAATCTGCTCAGAAAACGAGTGGCGGTTGTCTCCAACAATTGTAAATGGAACCTGTTCAATTCACAGTATGTGTGGCTAACACCGCGGCGGGATGAACAACGAAGTGTGATTTTGATTGAGTGTAGCGATGAGAGCTGCTGAGGAAATGACTTGAAGCTTGCACTTTGCCAAACAACGAGAAGCGCACATGGTTGTGTTGAGTGTATAATATTATTTTTAAAAATCATTCACCACCATAAAAATGTCAAGGACAAGAGTACTACAGGGAGTGCAGTCATCAAATAAGCTAACAGTTAGCCTACCTTATTTCTTTTTCTACTATCACAATATTTTATGACTGCATCCGGGCACACAATTGCCAATTTGAAAAATCAACGATAAAAACGTGCATTTGTGTGTCCCAGGCATAAGTGGTTGTCATGACAACAGAAGAAGAGACGACCAAGGGGATGGTAAGGCCCTAACGAGCTCACCTGTTCTGCCCTTAATGAGCACAGGTGTGAGCTCCGGCCAGGGCGACGCCCACCAGTGAAAGAGCAACCTTTTTTTTCTTTTTTTTTTTCCTTTAAGAGCTGCTCTGCAGTCACCTTGCCTCATTGTCGAGTGTTCCCACCCTTTGGTGAGTGTCCTCAAGTATGGCGGTGGATGCTCCGATATGTCGTACCGTAGCAGTTGTCTTGCTCCTGTGTTCCTTGGTGCCGAGTTTCAGCTGTTTCCCGCAGAAGAGCCTTGGTAAATTTGTCCCATGGCAATTAGCTAGCGAGAAGCTCGGAGTAAGAAAGGGGAAGATTCTCTTCAATGGGAAAGAACTGAACTCCTTGTCAGAATCTGATGCTTCGGGTAAGTCTGTGCCTTCTTTTCCACTTGATTGCCTTCAACGAGACGGCTGGTTGCATTTGGCACCCGAGACTTCACTCTTGCCCAAATCACATGACAAAAACATTTAAATAAAGCCATCTAATCACGGCTGCATGGGGGCTCTTGAGGACCGGACCTGGTCTGGTGTTCTATTAATGTAACCATAAATTGCTTGCCTGCAGTATTGGGCTGAATGGCCTTAAGGGCCCAGTAAAAATAAAAATGTTTATCTAAGTAAGAAATGAAAAGAGTGCAACTTCTTTCCATGCTGTGAAATGGTGCGCTTCATGTGACTCTACTTCTGTCTCTTTTTCTCTCCAGGAACGTGGGAGGAGGCATCACGGTCCGACGAGCTCAGAGAAGTTGAAGCAGCATGGCGGCTCACAAATCCCTCATTGCGATGTGGTCCTACAAAAATGACATTAAAAGTCATGGGCCGTGGAGCTGTGAACTTGGAACTCGACCTGGGTGACGCCACTGTTCTTAATTTCATATTTTAACCACACAATACCCGACTGAGTTGACTCCAGTTTGTCATTTTGCAAATATTGAGCGTGCAGAAAAAAATGGCGTTGGCCCAATCTAGTTCTTGTTGGTGCACTTTTCATCTGCTAACTGTCCTTGTTTCAGGCTCTGGGCGTTCCCTACCTCTAAGCCAGATGCCGGAATCTTGTGGCCATTCGCTCCATCAGAATTCTCTTGGCCTTGTCTTAGTTGTTTCATATGGTGGCTGCAAAGTGATGCGAGAGGTATGTGGGCGTTAATCAAACTGGAGATGCCGTTTTTTTCTGGTTTGCAATATTTCATGGGGTGTTTTTTTTTATTTTTATTTTTTGCATGTGCGGTGAAGCTCTCCCTTATTCACATCTAACATCATCCATCCAGTTCATTTGTGTTCGGAAACTGTCTTAATCTGCAGTTATTTATTTTTTTTAACTGTTCTGTAAAGATTTATAATTCATTTCCAGTAGATATGTGGTTGCGTGTTTACTCCAATCATCCTATTGTGTCTCCCCCCCATGATGGTACTTGCTTGACCCTCCCGGTTGTAGTACTCGAGAGAGAGTCCAAACAATCACAGCGCACCATATTTTGCTCCTCCCACACATGTTAGACCCCTGCCCAGTTTCCATCAGGTAAAGGGGTTGAAACTATTCAGTGGCATCATAACATTTGTGGAAATTAGTTTTGTAGAAACCTGCCTTGGAAATGTCAGTCATTCTCTCAGGAAGGATTTTAATTATTACCGGCACGAGTTATCAACTGTCTGTTCATAGTTTTATTGCCTCAAATCTTAATTTTTTTTTTTAAATCTTGTTTCAGAATGGATATCATGTTCTACCAATGAGCTTCATGGAGACTTCCGTTACACTCGCCTGCCCCGTGTTCCCACCCTTGACCCCGCCGCATCCCATCCCTCTAATTGCCCGAAACGTCGACCGCTCCAAGCGTGACGAGGACGAGCCCGCATCTGACGAGAACCTTCACCTTCGATACCAGCACTATCATAACTATTTAAAGTACCTGTACTACTTGCATATCCTAAAGAATCCCCACATGTATCCTTTTGTACATCGCCCTTACAATCCCCTGTACCAAAACCCGCATCTTGTTTCTCACGCCTATCCGCATATTCCAGTGCATCATCCACTTTATGCTCACTATCCACAGAACCCCGCGGCCCCCTATTGCCACCCACCCGGGGCCCTTTGTCCTTTGCCCCATTATCTCTATCCCCATCCTCAAGCACTCCAAAATAGGGAAATACTAATGGACGCCAACCGCGGTCCAGAAACCTTAACAACGCCGCCCTCTCCGACCGGCGATCCCGCAACCACTGCAGCTACTACTACTACTACAACAACCACTGCAACTACTACAACTAGAAAACCTTGTAGACGCATCATCCCCACTACTACGGTTAGTCCTACGGCTGCTGCTACTACAACCAAACGACGGTGTCGACCCAGAACCCATCCGGAGAATAAGCACTTCACCCCTTATGCCACCAACCCCTTCGCACAAGAAATCTCGTACGACGAAGGCGCTCCAATTGGAGGCAACCCTAAGAGTTCCCCTCTTGCTGGCTACAAATCTGGACCACTCCAGAGCTACCAGTACTGGCCACAGGAGCCCTGGTTTTCCCAAGAGGAGGATAAAGACATCCCCTTTGACTGGGATGATCTTTAACCATAGCCCTGGGTAAGAGTCACTTGGCTGTGAAATCGTTTTGAATGGCGGTATGGTAATGTCTACTTCTCTTTTTAGGGACTGGCATTCAATAAACGTTTTAAGGAAAAGTTGGTTCGTAGTGTGTGTCATCTTTGCTGTCAAATGTTACTCAAAGCGCAATCATGGACTTCAGGAAGTCTTGAGACCTCAATTCGGCTGTTGACTAGTTTAGTGGGTTGTTTTTTTTTTTAAACGTTTTTAGAGCAGGCCACAACTAAGACGAAAATTGTAGTAACCCTGCAGCGGACAATGCATTTGGTACATGGGTCTTCTGACTTAATCCACCTGTTAATACTGTCACATTGCTATTAAAAGACCAGTAAAACCGTTAAAATGCTGATTGAGACATTTCCCATGTGTTAAGTCAAAAATATTAGTTGCAATAGTTTCTGTACCCCGCTAGTCTAAAGATTGCATTCTGACATTTGTGGAATAAGAATTAAGCAGCAGAATCCACCTATTTTTATCGATCTCGTGGGTGTCCGTTTAGATGGCTGCTGTGGACTGTAAATGACGTCACAGGGCCTAAGGGCTCAGCGAACCACCAATCGAGGCTCATCTGTTTTCTGGGTTTGGTCATGTGACGGTCACAAGCTGAGCATTTATCTATTTTGATCTCATTTTCAATGGCCAGCAAGTGGCAAAATGGGGGTGGCCCCTGAGCCCTCTCAGGCTATAGTCGAGTGGATTTTGCTGCTTCATATTCCGCAAACAAGATATCAGTATGCCATGCTTAGACTGGTGTGGTTGGATTGAACAAATTGTGAAGAAAAAATTTGACTATTTGCATTCATGAACAAAGTCTTGAGGCATCTCAAATCTGGGCAAAAAAAAGTGAATTCTGTTTGAAATCAACCTCCATCATACAGAAATGTTGATACTCTAAACCTGCGTCATCTGTGAACCCCCCCCCCGCACACCCCAATTTTTAACGTAACCCTTGACGTTTAACAAGCCTCCTGTAACTGATGCCATGTGACTATTTTTCCAGTGACCACAAGGAGCAAAACTGTTGTAACTTCAACCGTGCTGTCATTGCATGTTTTGAGCACGAAATTGAAAGTAGCTGTATTTTTTTTTTAACATGCTGATTAGATGCAGTCAAAAATGGTAATAGTAAACAAAAATGAGGAGGGGATAAACTGCCCAATGTTTTGCTTTTTTTTTTTTTAAATCGTGTATTTGCAAAACTTGCTTTGCTTCACAGTGCGCATGCACCCGCCACCCCATTCTGTCCGTTCATATATATTTCCACATGGCGCCATCTCCTCCGGGCGCCCCTGGCCCATGATGCGCATCTCCACGCATCATTGGAGCCAGGCTGCACGTGACCTCCCAGTTCATGTAGCATTGCCAACACGGGGGATGCGCGCTTGTGTTGCTGCCCTTCGCCGGGCACTGAGCCTCATGACCCTCCTCTAGTTGCAAATTAACAACCACAAATAGTTTTAGAAATCCCATGAAGGCATTGGAGAGGAAGCTTCTTGTTTCATTTGCAGCGCTTGGAACTACATTGAAAACCAGACGGTCTCCAATGAAGGTGAGTGCTTTTTGTGAGATTTGCGGCCTGGATGCATTTTAATTTCAGGAGCGTTATGACCACAATGACGCTATCACATCCATTTTTAATGTTCTGTTTAATTTCCTTTCCGTTTATAATCCAGGGAACATGAAGACGGATACGGCCATTGTTCAGGTTATCTGATGATCTGCACATCTCAGGGCAACCAGGCAATCCTGTCCATGGAGGAGGACTATGACGTGGACATGGGTGAAGTGTTCATGGGAAGGGTCGGAGCAGGTCAGTGGTGGATGGACTTTGGGAAGGGGGACGGCACAGAGTCGGAAAGAGGCTTCATGGTGAATAGTCGCAGCTGGGCAGAGGAGCTGCAGGAATGTTACAGCGGTGGAGCAGGCAGACTGTCCAGCATTTCGGTCAGTTTTGTTTTTTTTCTTTCTTTTTGCGGTAAGGGTTGGATGGATCAAGTCTTGGATCTGTAAATCTGAACAGAACAATTATATCTGAGCACAGATTTTTCACTCTCTTCGATAAACAAGACATGCTTGATGTAAGCAACCAGAATTGGTCGCAACGATTACCCTGATGCACAAATAGGTATTTTAATAATGTGTGGGAAAGATGATAAGCATTCAAATTAGTATCGCATTGTGCCATCTGGACTTATTTTGCCCCTGAATTTGGTTATCATTTTTATAACCAGTTTTTAAAAGGAGGCAGAACTCCCTGGAGAAAAAGTGCAATTGAGCAGGAGCTGGGATTCGAACCGCAGAACTATTCGGCAGATGTACTAATCATTCCATTGTTCTCCTTGAGGATAAACCAATCATTCCAAATGCATGGCCCAGTACAGTCGGCCCAGCCACTGACATGCAATCAGCTCACATTTACTCAAAGTGACTATTGATTCGTTATCGACATGGGTTGCGGGTCACATTCATCAGACTAGTCAGCCATGACTGGCAGTTACTTATGCCAACCGTTGAGATCAATGCGCTCATGGTATTAGGACTTGAAAAAGACAGCAAGGATGGAGCCAGTAAAAAAGATGGAGGAACAGATAAGCACATCTGGAGGCCAACAAGCACCTCCTTCCATCCCTCCTCTCCCGCATTTGTCTTCCCAGGCTTCCCCCTCACCCCTCCTCCGTGCCTCTCCCTCCCTCTTGCAGTATATGAGAGGGTCTCCTGGGTCCGGCTCCACTGCAGTGGAGAGGAAGGGCAGGGCGTGCTTGCGTGTTCAGTACGATGCGATGAAGGATGGTGCACCAGGAGAAACGCGTTTACCAGGTGTGTGTCCCTTCGTGTGTGCGTGTGCGATGTGGTGTCATGTCGAAGCAGTTGTCGGGTGTTACGTGATTGGCGCCCATCCCTGTTGTGATGCTATGGATGATTCAGCGATACAGGGGCGGTCGTGTTCTTGTTGTCGTCTGTGTATCTCTCCGACTACAACCATTAGATAAGATGTCTGCGTAAAAAAGGGGTTAAATTGAAATGTATAGTACAGGTACATATGTGTATGCGAGTCTGATAGAGATCTGTGATCTTTTATCACACATGATGTGCCACTAATGAGTGTGTGTGTGTGTGTGTGTGTGTGTGTGCGTGTGTGCAACATGAAGAAAAAAAAACCAGTCAGACACATAGGTAGCCTTGGGACATGCATCTCATTAGGCAAAAAAAAAAAAAAAAAAAGACAGAATAGAAACATAGGTGCTCCGCTAAAGCTTTGTGATGACATTTCGATAAATGGTGATGCTAGGATGCAGTAATAAAGTGCATTTATGGGAACACGGTGAAAACGCGATGCATAGTTGAGGTGAATGAAATGAAAGAAGTATCTTGGAATGGGTAAAATATCAAATATATTGCTCTGCACTGTACAACGATAAAGCAGGAGCTTTACCACAAGTGGTAAATGTGGTTCATTCCAGAAGGTTTCAAGACTGAATGTGCCTCATCATTCCTTCATCCATTTCGATTGCATCCAGGGTGCTCCCTGTCACTCCCATGATGCACTGCCAGGGTCGACATGTCACCTGTCCATCCAATATCTGATCATCTCAGGATGCACGTTGTGCATTTTTTTTCTAAACAGTTGCAATCAGTTCCCTGCTGTCAGCACATTTGTAGTGGTCTCATGCAAGTGGGCCAGCCCTCATCCCACCCCACACGGTGTGAGGCCAAAGGCTATACTGGATTTCGCTACCATGACAACCGTGTGGAGGCAGAAGCTTGTGCACGTCACCAATCGCATATTCCAAACACGTATACAGTACCCACTTAGACTCCGGTTAGTGTGTCAGTTAGTCATTAAGAGGTCATAGAGGTCAAATTTCACAATGGATAAATAATATTCTTAGACTCCGGTTAGTGTGTCAGTTAGTCATTAAGCTCTAGTAATAGAGGTCAAATTCCACAATGGATAAAGAATATCTGTGAGACTATTGATTTATCTGTTTACATGTGTTGCTCCACCATTTCTGTTGAAATAGCCATTGCTTAAAGGGAATACAGTATAACACCATTTCTGTTGAAATAGCCATTGCTTAAAGGGATTATAACACTTTGAGTCAGATGCCAATTGTTAGGCATTTTGCATTGTTAAGTTAAACCGACTTTCTTCAGGCAACACTATGTGGTTATTTTAAATACTTTGAATACTCTTTATTTTATGTTTAGTTTGACACTAAACCTGGAGTGGCATTAAATAGCTTGAAGCTTTTTTTCTAAAGTAGAGACTGGCATTAAAAATCAAAATAGCTCCAAAAACGTCATCAAAACCAGAGAAGAATATACATTTGAGAATATCTGACAACAATATGTGCATCCAGAATGTTCGTGTTGAAGAATGACCAGCATCATCCCGTAAAAAGGACATTAATTTCCTTTAATTGTATTTGTCCTTTTTTTTTATTTTTTATTTTGTGCTGACAGGCCCAGCGAAATGAGAGAGAGTCTATTAGGCAGAAACTTGCCCTGGGCAGTTTCTATGACGACGAGCCAGTCATCTTCACCAGCTGCAGCAAAAACGACCCGTCCTCTCGGTGGGTTTTTTTGAAAGGAGCCTGTGAAGTCTTGTTTTTCTTTTCGATTCTGACTGACGTGTTTGATCTCGCCGTCTATTTTCGACACCGGCTGACGTTCCCTCCCTCTAGCATCATGGATATTTAATTATGTTTGCCACTCTTTCTATTTTTTGTTTTTCAAAGGCAGCTCTACTCAGTATTGAAACAGCTGATGAATACTGTATGAATGCATACAAGGAAGCCTAAAGATTCAATTTACTTCGACATAATGCTGTCTTTATAGTGCGTCCGTGTGCGTGTGTCTGTCAGTGGTGCCCTTCATATTTAAATCCTATTTATATCTGACCTCATTCTGGATTCAATTACTCTTCAAATCAGATTTTTTTTGAAATAGTTTTGTATCAAAGGCACCTTAAGGCGATTCGTATCACCTTCATCACAAACCCTTTTTTGTCTCGTCTTGGTTCTACGATCAGGTTCTACAGCGGAGTCAACCTGCAGGTGTGTTTTGTCAACGACAGCAGCAGCGACAAGGACAGCGATGCCGAGGACAGCAGGACAGAGACCAGTTTGGACACACCCTTGTCACCAGTGGTATGCACAGCTGGAGCGAGCCTGGACTGTACTTTGAAACCCTAAATGAGGTTCAGTACAAGAGCTGTATCAGACAAAATTGCCTTACATAGATTATAATGCTCAGGCAGTCCTTGGAAACATTTCCCCCTCCCTCTAAAGGGTCAGTAGACCCCAACAGTTTGAGACTCTACGCAATGCGCAACCAACGTCTTTCGTATGTTCCTCATGACACTAATCCAAGTCCTTCTGCTTCAGAGCAAGCAAAGCTCGTCATTATCGGATCGAGACACGGCGGAAGAGGACTCGGATCCGCTGGACGACTGCGGCGGCTTCTGGCGGGTGCAGCGGAGGCTCCAGGAGGAGGCTCGGGTGGCTCTGGCTCTGGCTCGACCCATGGCCCGTATGCAGGTGGAGGTGGAGAGGCAGATTCAGCAACACAGACGCTCGCCTGTGGCAGATCTGGTTAGTCAGGAATCACATTTGACTTTTTACACCAAGTACCAGCTAAAAAAAACAAACAAACAAAAAACCCAAAAACTTTGTTCTCACTGCTAGTCGCAAAATGCTACTTAATTCATGAAAATATTCATCATTATGCCGTGTTTGGCGACACACAGAACATATTTTAAAGACACATTTGACTTTTTACACCAAGTACCAGCTAAAAAAACAAACAAACAAAAACCCCAAAAACTTTGTTCTCCAAGTAATCCCCATCATGACCGGCAAAAAAATACCTTGGCGGGTCCAAGTATTCATCAAAAATGAAACTGAGGTTTTATTCCTAAAAAGTAAAAGTAATATTATTTTTGATATTTTTATTGTTTTATTAATTTAATTCTTATTGTCCCGATTTTAGGAAACTATTTAAATAATGATCCAATCTGTGGCATAAAAGTTGTTTAAAAATTGCACATAAAAAAAAAAATACACGTAACTATGGATGGCATGGATGTCTAGAACTTAAAAGTTAAATACAACTGAATTGTATTCAAGGTAATGGGTCGTTTACATACCACTAAAACAGTGCTCAATGATTTTATTTTGTTTTACACCTCCCTGGGAAGAAAAAACGCAGCGTTATTGGTCGTTATCTTTAGGCGTTGTGATGTCATTTTCAGGTGACAGCTCGTAGCAAAATGCAACTTAATTCATGAAAATATTCATCAGAATGTCGTGTTTGGCGACACACAGGACATATTTTAAAGACTTTTTTTTTTTACTCGACTTCCCTTTTAAATCGGTAGCAAATTAATGCGTTTCGCTTTTGTGGATGCACGCAGCTTCCCAATCTGCCTCACATCAGCGAAGGTTTGATGAAGAGGAATCTGAGGCGAGGCGACATGAGGGATATGAGTCTTGGGCAGCTACAAGTCATCACAAACGACCTGCACTCGCAGATCCAGAGTAAGTAGATCAGACTCGAGTATTTCAGTCACGCTTCGTAATCCATTTCTGCCTGCTTTGGGCACGGAACGTGGGTGGCTGCTTTTACTCGGATCTTCTTTACGATGCACAGTGGCGTTGTGGAGAGCATGTCTGCTTCACAGTTCTGAGTGTACATTCTAGGTCTAAGTGAGGAGCTGGTGCAGCTGCTGCTGCTTAGAGACGAGCAGCACGTTGAGCAGGATGCCATGCTGGTGGACATCGAGGACCTCACCAGGTGAACGCATTCCGCCCAATGGCCACTCACTTGATCACCTACAAGCATTTAAAACAGCTAACGACATCCAGAGGCAAAGCGGAAGGAACAAAAAGATTTTTAAATGTTTAGATGACCTTAATGAAAGGTATGGGAGAGCAGGGGGTGGAATCAAAGTTTTTAAACTAGTTTTAAAAACATTTACTCTTGGGGGTGACTTCACTTCTGTTGGCATGTTATTCCATTTGTGTGCAGCACAACAGATAAATGCCGCTTCACCATGTTTACTGTGAGCCCTGGACTCTGCTAATTGACCCAAGTCTGCAGATCTTAAATCCCTCCTGGGCTTAAATTCAATCAGCATGTATTTCATGTTTTCAAGCCCCAAACCATTCACTGATTTATAGACCAGGAGCAGAATTTTAAAACACCTGTATATTAGCTATTGCATTTCAGGTTGGGAATGTAGGTCAGCGCTTGTAGACGGCCCACCTCTGATAAATCCACATGCACTGTCCGAGCTCTTTGTCTTTGTCTTGATTACAGACATGCTCACAGCCATCAGCGGCACCAGGCTGAGAAAGCAAACGCTAAATGAATTCCCGTGTGTCCATCTGCACGCCATCCGACGTAGTACCCACTCAATGGATTGTCACTTGTGTTGCCAAGGAAACTCCGTCTGTGCTGTCTGTGGAGAAAAGAAGAGGCCATATCGTGTTTGTACATGCACATCAAGTATTACACCACTGGACCCAGTTGATAGGTTTTTTGCTTTCCATTCTGCTGGATTAAATATGGCATATTTCAAAGAGTTAAAGGAATCTTCCTGACATATTTCCATTATAAAACCAACCTTATGAGTTTTTGCAAAGTACATTCTTAGAGGGATAGAAGGAGAGCACTTGTACACTTTGTTCTTTATTTGTCCGTCGTAGTTGAAACTGGAATTCACTGTTGCAATAGAAATGTAGTCTCCCGTGTTCATTTAAAGCATTGCTTCAATGCTGCAGCACTACTGAGAATTCCGAAGACGCACAACTGGATGTACAACAATCGCTGCTATATAGTGCATACTTTTATTTGTACTTTTTGAGCTTGACCTTTGCACATTTCCATTGCGTACATCTGTACAACCCATAAAGTACATGAAAGGTATTTTGTCAGAGTCGAAAAAGCATCATGGACTGCCTCAAAGCAAATTTTCTTTTTTTTGAGGCTCAATTTAAAAAGTAAGAAAAACTGAATAACTACATCCCAGACTGAACATATATCTATTTTATGTGACAGAAAGGTTTATGGACTGAAAGGATGCCTCTTAAAGAAAACAAAAACACTTATTGCTCATTGTCAATGTGTCCTTTTAGCATAAAGTCAACTTTGTTTTTCTATTGTATGCTACGTGGATACATGTGCTGTATAACGACTGTAAAGATATGGGATAATAAACATTTTAAGTGTGTGGAATGGCTGATTCTTGTCACTCAACTGGCTTTAGTAGAGTTTTTTTAGTAATTGCACATGACCAAACAAAATTGCTACTTTAAAAAAATGGTGTGACATTTTGGGTTATTTTAAATTAAAACATTTTGAGTAAAAACACATTTTGTTCCAGCTGTGCATACTATTACAGTGGCCTTGAGTTAGTTTTTTTTAATTCAAATGCAATACTTTTTAGTGCATTTCGGTTGTATTTAACTTTTAAGTGCAGTACTTTTGCATGTAATGATTTCGAAACGTTTGTTTTCAAACTACTTTATTATTTATCATTAAAGTGGTACAGGGGGAAGACATTTTTTTTCTATTTTGAGGTGGTACTTGGTGTTAAAAATTTGAGAGCCGCTGGTATCGGTATCTATTGCTGCGTTGTGTCCAAATTTGGCCTCGACGACACTCCAGTGTCCAAATTCAGGTGGCCTTCGTTTTCATGGCGACGGACGCTGAGCAAAGGCTACTTCATAGCACTTTGATCGCCTAAATTACTTTGCGCTTCCTGTACACTAACCTTCTACACTTCATTACTCTCGTCTACCAGCTGAGACCTTTGCCGCTATCTTACGGCGGATCAGTCAAGTGAAAGTCGGTCGCCTTAAACCCACCAAGAACACACGGTACAGTCTTGTGAGCTCTCAAGTACACTGAAGTCAAGTATAGTCCTCCTGAGAACATAAGCAAGGACGTTCTTTCTGAGAAGGCCAGTCTCTTTGTAAATTGGAACGACTGTTTATTTTTCAGTTTACACCATTTTACACCTTTTAATGCGTCGTAAGCTGGATAAATACACATTGAGATAAAACAAATACTGTACACTTTAATTCCTGTAAAATAACGGCTGCAGTGACCGGAACCGGAAATGGCCTCGTGACCGCACAACTGACGCCAATTGTGTCTAATTAAGGGGGGGATGGGGGTTAGTGGTGACAATCAATAAACGCCAAAAGCGAATAAGAGACTGAACATAGCTGAACGCTATCATCACTTAGCCGGCATAGTTGCTCGTTGGTGTTGACGAGAGACTTCCCGGAGCGGTGGGGAGGCTTAGCTGCGCTTTTACCAACTTAACTACTCCAACCTAAAAAAAAATGAACCGCTCCCGTTATAGGGCCTTTTTCGTCCTCTTTGCCGTTTTCACACTCACAGAAAGCCGCCGCTACCACTTGGTATCATCCAGCCGAGGTGGAGCTCAAGTTCCGAGCGTGCCTTTACCTTCCGCCGGTTCTCAAGTCCCTTCACAGCAGGTGGAAGATCAGCCCAAAGCGGTGCTTGTGAAATGTCACTCGGACGCGATGGAGCTCGTGCTTCAGGCGGATTTGTTCAACACGGGGCTTCCCGTGGAGCCGGCACACCTGCGCCTCGGTTCCGATCCAGCGGGTGCAAGTGGGGCATGCCGCGCGCGACCCACTGGTGACGGCGACTCGTTGACCATATCGGCCGACCTGCTGGACTGTGGAACTCTGCGCTCGGTAAGCACAAGTTTGTACAGTTGGTATTTTGAAGTCATTTAAAAAAAAAAAAACCCTCAATTGTTTTAACATCTTAATTTTGATAGCGCTCCGTCACCATGGTGTAACTTGAAAAACTTTATATTGCTTTGTTAAAGTTTCTCCATAAAGAATAACTTGGCTTTTTAAAGTCTTTAATGGAGTCATATTATAACGTAATGTGAAAGTGGAATATGTAATCCAGGGATGGGCAATTTAAATGCTGGAGGTAGCCATCATTTTTCTTCAGTACTGTGTTGGTACTACTGCACCAAGTGCAAAAAACTCTTGCATAAAAAAAAAAAATGCAAAAAGAGCACAAAACTACTGAACAGCAAACTAAGTGCTCATTTTATACATCCCCCCATATGAAATGAACTTGCTCGATTTGAATTTTGTAAAGTACTATGGTTGTCTACATATTATAGCCAATCTGCAAAAGAAATTTAAGCCTGCTCAAGTTGTAGTATGGGGCCCCCTTCCTGATTTCTTATTTTTGTTTGTCACACTTAAATGTTTCAGATCATCAAATTTAAATATTAGTCAAAGATAACACAAAATGCAGTTTTCAAAGGGAAGTCTTTATTATAAAGGAGAAAAAATAATCTAAACTTGCATTGCCCTGTGTGAAAAAATGTTTGCAAACCCACCCCCCAGGTCAATTTCTCTGTGCCAGACCCAGGCTTGATTGCTGCCACACTTTTTCCCAATTAATAAATCACTTAAATTGGACCTGCCTGACCAAGTGAAGTAGACCAAAAGCTGCCTGAAATCAAAAGAAATTCTGGATCAAATGAGAGAAATTGAGATCGATCAATCTGGTAAGTTCTAAAGCTTTGGGACTCCAGCAACCCACATTGAGAGCCATTATCCACAAATGGCAAAACCATGGGACAGTGGTGAACCTTCCCAGGAGTGGCCATCCGACCAAAATTTGTTGAAAAAATGTATGAACCCTTTAACGAACAAACTAAAACCGCTTTTCTATCGCTAGTCAACACAGGACAAGATAATCTATTCGAATGTGCTGGTCTATTCCCCTGAGCCATCTGATGGCTTCCTTCGACTGGACGGAGCAACGATTCCGGTTGAGTGTCATTTCGACAGGTAATTTTTAGTTTAACAAAGGTCTTGACTGAATGCCATGATTTGACTCCTTACGCGTGCATTGGATTGTCAAATGTGTGTTCATTGTGGGCCACTTTGCAGACGTTTGCTCTGAGGGTAATTTAAACACACATTTGTATGGTCATATTGCATAGTTAAGTCCAGCATCATTTGGTTCTCATTTTAACAAATCGGATGCATTTTTAAATCATGAAGTAAAATTGAGATTACGCTATTCTGTTTTCAGGAGGTATTCTGTGGGTGGAATTTCCATGCACCCTACCTGGATTCCTTCGGTCTCAGTAGGCTCAGCTGAGAGTAGCATCGACTTCAAACTGCGCCTCATGACTGGTGGACAGCATTCTATTTTGTTTTCAATTTTATTTGTTCCACTGACTTGTTTTTTAAAAATGTTTCAGACAATTGGCAGTTTGAGAGGCGCTCGCATGCGTACTTCATGGGTGACCCGATTCACTTGGAGGTGTCCGCGGCAGTCCGCAAACACCAGCCCTTGCGCGTCTACGCGGAGCGTTGCACTGCCACAGCCGGCCCAGACCCACACGCCGCCTTAAGATATGACTTTGTTGAGCGAAATGGGTGAGTGCCGAATGGTACGGAATGCATCATCCCGCAACTCTAAATGATAATGAATAACCCACCCTGATTTACATTTACACCACCAGATGTCTCACCGATGCCTTGCACACAAACTCCAGCTCTCACTTCCTGCCCAGGCACGACGGGCACACGCTTCAACTTCAACTCGAAGCATTCAGATTCCACCAGCAGCCTGACAGTCAGGTTAGAATCTCAACTATGGCAGTTGCAAACTCTTGCCTTGGTGTACATGTTATACAAATACTCAACACAACCAGTTGCTCCCATTTGTCTGGTGCAAGCATCAAATCTGACTTGTACAATAATAATCGCTCGATCTTTTAGGGACCTCTGAAAACCGTACCTTTTTGTCGCCTTTAATCACAAAGTGAAGCTCAAATTCATTCTGATTATTGGCATGTACCACGCTTTGGCCAAATGCAATGTTTTGAAATGACTAAAGTGCTTAGTTGTGTGTGCCATAGGTCTACATCACTTGCTGGCTGAGGGCTGTTCCAGACTCCTTAGTTGTCAGCTCTCAAAACAGGGCCTGCTCTTTTATTGACAACAGGTAATCCTTCGGTGCGACACTTGTTACAAGCATTACAGTGAATTTCACTTTTTGGACGATCACGTTTGCTCTCGTGTACAGATGGAGGTCCGTGGACGGGGACCACGGTGACTGTAGCACCTGCCATCCACTGGCAGCCCCAAAGGAAACGACCACCACGACGACAGACAGGAGGCTGTACGCAAATTCGGGCTGGAATTTTGCTCCTAACAAACCCAGGCAACCAACTACTTCTCTGCGTTCCCGGCCTGAAAGGTTGCAAAGCTACACATATCAGCAGACCTCTTCTGGTCTGATGAGGCAAAACGATCACAAACCAGGTGAGAACAATTGCACCAAAAAAAAAAATCAGGAAAGGTAAGATGGTAACGTTGACATTCAGTTCATTCTGCTTCAGAATGTCAGTTTAGAGGTTAAACTTGTGTGGTTTATTTGGTTTAGTGTTACTGACGTGTTTCCTCATGCCATGTGCGTTTTACAGTGAGATTCGTCCAGCTTGGACCTCTTTCTGTTGAATAGACATCGCCACTAAGGATACTTTGACCGGCACCTCCTGCCTGCTGTTGGATGCGCAATCCAAGATGAGCTTCGCACAATGGAAATTGAATATCTTAAAATTCACTCTACTGGCCTACATGTTTGTAGTTTTTTTGAACTACCTCTTGTCTCCAAAATACATGTTTTACAGTAACCCTGAATTTTGTTGTATTTTTTTTAACCCACTTGACTGGTTTGGCTAGCTTGCTATATCTCAGTCCGAATGACATTTGTAGACAATTTGATTAACGTTGGGTTTCGAAGCACTCAGCATAATTAGCCCCAAGAAAACAAATGGACTTAAAAGATGCACTCTCTCTGGAGTACACAAACGTACTTGTGGAGCCTTTCGGCATCCTCTGATCAATCAAACATATCGTCTGTTCTGTACAGAGGGATGCTATTAAGCGCTTCCTTCCATTACCACCCACCACATGCCCATCATGCAGTCCCAATATTGATTGTTTGTTGTGAGGAGGTGCCTGATGTAAGCAATGAAGGGTTCGCTTGAGAGATAAAATGTGGATCTCTGGGCAATATTGTACATTAATTTGCCCAAATAACATAGTGTGTGAGACTGACACATCAAAACTGAGATGGTGAAATTTTAAGACGTGCACTCGTGTTGTTTTTAAAATGGTACAGTACAACCACAGTGTTTATGCTGCCTTGTTGAACGAAGATGGAAATCTGGTAGTTGAAAATATCGAGACCATTTGCCATAAATCCTTTCAAAAAAGTCACGTCAAGCATATTTAAAGAGTCCATTTGGAAAGGCCACTGAAAAAAATGGGTATGGGATGTGTAATAAAGTCAATGTAAATCATTGAAATGTTTAGTAAATTAAAATGTTTAGTGTGTTTTAAATTTATAGAAATGTATGATTCGGTGAACTCAGACTGGGTCATAAATTCAGATGCTAATCAACTTGGATACGTCATTTAGGTGATTTGTCAGGGAAAGAAATTCTGATCAATTGAATTTATTGAAAAATGACTTTCTGTCCCTTCATGTAAAAGACAAAACTACACAGGCTACTTTTGTCCTGGAAAGGTTACAAAAGTTTCAAAACGCCCTGTAATTCTGTAGCATTTTAATTAAAAAAAAAAAAATCCTAAATTGTAAAATAAACTCCAAACATCCAAGTATCAATTCCAAAAACATACAATTACAGCGCACCACTAGGGACCGTTTTACCACACAAGACCACTTTTGTAGACGAGCTTTTAATCCATTAACATTTTATCCACGGGGGCTTTCAGCGCGCGCCACAAATACTTTTACGAGCATCTCCTCCACCTCTGGGCAGCATCTCTTACGTTAAAAGTTCCAGGGGGTGTGAGGAGCGCTGGCTGTGGTTCTGAAGCTTGTTTTTGTCCCTCTGATCGTGCTTTTGTTGTCTTTCAGTGCTAGGTAGGATGACCCGTTCGATTTCCCGGGCGCCTGTTTACTTTCATAGCAAATGAATACGCATGGAAGGCTTTTGGTTGCAATTCACGAGAAGCTATGACGAGCTCACTAAGTGCCTCATAAATCTGCCGAGACTTTTGTGTTGCGGAGCAGATGCGAGTGGCGGACGTGGTGAGAACGAGGCGCTCTCCTGATGCACCCCGCCTCTCTGCAAGCTCGTTTGATCACTCGCAGCAATGTTTTCCCACCGATACCAAATATTGGCTGTCCTCACCATGTGTCCTGTTCTTGGCACGCACTCCAGCCAGAGATGCGGACCCGCTTTTTGTCGGGACGACCAGGAATGCTGCCTTCGAGGAAACGCCAGCGCCTGTTGCAACCCCTTGGAGGACGACACCTACTACCACGTCGCCATGGCTACTCGCAAACTCTCTGGCGTTCTCATCATGCTGCTCCTCTTCGCTTTGGGATACTTCGTCCAGCGTGTGTTATGTTCCCGATCCAGACAGCTCAGCTCGGACAATGGCGGAGACCCGACCGTCACGACTTCCCGGGAGCTGCTGGTGGAGCTCGCCACGCCGGACAGCCTCCTGGACGGCCGGAGCGCGGCTCATCTGCCCACGTACGACCAGTGCAAGCGTCTACCCACTTACGAGGAGACAGTACGGTATGGACAATCTCAGTCTTCTGTGGGACAAACTACCTGACAAGGACCGATGTCTTTTAGAAAGACACTTGCGTTACTTTCGGATGTGCCTCAAAGGAATATGGTCAAGAAAACATTTCCTCATGAGACACCACTGATGCTGCATAAGTAGCCGACTTTAATGGCTTTTTTGTTTTTGTTTGCTAATGTTTATGAATAATTCACCAATAGCTGATAGCAGATCTGGAATAAACTAAATGACGTTGTTTCCTGTGTTTTAGTGCTTTCAATCATAGGTAAGGCATGTCTCGTATAAATACCTTGCCATCTTATTCGATCTGTTTCTTTCACTGTGGGAAGTAACAATTTGCTTTTATAGCAGGCCAGGGTGAAGAATATAGCACTGCATCATATAAGATGCTGAGATATTGGCAGTAGTTTGCGGCTTTTCTCTCAACAAGGTAACAAAATAATCAAATTTCCACAGCACCACCCAATAACAAATATCCCAAATGTGAGAAGCTAATAGGTGATTTTTGTTTTTCATGATAAAATTAGAATCAAACCAGCCACACGACCGCCCCCCATATTAAAAATGAATACTGTCGTCATATTAACTCAAGTGATGAACATGTTTTATTGATACAAATGCATAGGCCTGGTTCTGTTTAATATTCCTCAAAATGATAAAACATCTCATCAATGCTGCTACGTCTACCACTGAAATGTGAATCAAACTAAACAACTCTGTTCATTTCAAATGACGTATGTCCATGACTCCAGTTTCAGGGATGCAAAGTAATGAACTGTATTTGTCTGCAGCGTCTTGCAGCATAACAAGGATCACGTTACAGTCAAGTGATGTCAGTGGTGAGTTATTTTAGCCACTCAATTTAATGCAAGCTCATTGTTCGGTCCACTTGACTTTTTTTTTTCTTCCCACTTTCGCTGAATTTGGCAATGTGACACTGTCGGCGTTCATCACAGAAATGTAACAATGTAGACAAAAAGAATGAGCTGATGGATATTTTGGGGGGAGAGAACGGAGTGAAAACATTCCTAGAGATCCAATGTGTTGTCTGGTAAACATTTACCCCTGAATTTATACACCCACTGCCGGTCATTGGAAAGAATGCAGAATTTTACAAAAGAGTTCCCCAAGCATAAAAACTAATATTTAAACATTGTCCATTTTCATTCGAAGCAACTTGTGCTAACTTGATTTCAAACCAAATTTTAAATTAAATATATTAACTATAATACTAATGCACTTATAAAAGTAAAATGCTGATTGTTTATCCATCCAAACCTGTTAATCTCATGAGAGTAACATTTCAATAGAAGTCTATTTTCAGTAGAGTACAAAAACGTTTTAAAAGAGTATTTAAATGTTGTGGTTGAAACATTGCCACAATTCAAATCCAGTTGACAAAGCGGTGTAGATGTTCATTTTTGGATTAATATAAGTGGTAACTTTTCCAAAACATAATTCAAATGAAATGTATGACTGCAATATACTTTATATCAAAGTTGAATATAAGATTTCAATAATCTCGTCCATTTTCGTCAACACAAAGGCTGTGACATGTTACATGTTTTGTGTGAAGCATGCCACAGTTCAAACTAAGTTGCTTACAAAATAGTGTAAATATGTCCAATATTGACAGGATCCCCAAACCACAATTCAAATGAAATGTATTACCTACAATATAGTGTCATGTTCGTTACATAACTTTGCTTTTTTTTCTTTTGCACAGCACTTTGAGTTGCAGATTTATGTATGACAAGTGCTATATAAATAAACGTTGATTTATTTATATGAAGGAAGATTTCAAAACGTCAGCCCATGAGTGCACTACAGTGTGATTGCATTTGATGAAAACGGGATAAAGTACTGCTGCAAGTGTTTTAAGATTTCAAAACTGCAATCAATGTTTAGTTTAAATGACGTCGACGTTTCAATTACAGTATTTACGTTTACCCAAGTTAAACTTGCTTACAAAAGTGAAGTGAAAATGGTTGAAATTTGAATCGTGGAAGATGTATTATGTTGCCCACTTTTCAAGACCGCACCTCAAATCAATTCTGGTACAACCACCACAACTGTGTCAGTGTTAACATACCGAGGGAGTCCAAAATCCAAATCCACCTTCAATGATTACCAGACTTAGTTCTTATGTAATTCACGGTATCTTTAATGTTCTCCTTCATCGTGGCCGAAGATTCCGACGGGAGTTTGACCATGTGGCCGATCCTCGTGAGAGCCTCCGCCAGGCCGAAGCCCACGGACGCGGAGCACGGTTGGATGAACCAGTCCCTGTTGCCGCAAATCCTCCGCAAATTAAATTCGTCTATGATTTCCATCACGGTCATAGCGCCGTCCACGTCCTGCTTGTTGGCGAGCACGGCGAGCGGGCTGCCGCGGAGCTGCTCGCTCCTCAGCGTGCGCTCCAACTCCCGCTTTGCCTCCGCCGCCCTGGCCCGGTCGGCGCTGTCTACCACGAAGACGACGGCCGCCGTGTCCTGGTGGAAGCTCCGCCAGTGGCGACGCATTTCCGCCTGGCCGCCCACGTCCCACACGGTCAGAGCGAAGTTCTTCTTTTTCCTCTTCACGTCGAACATTTCCACATTGAAGCCGACGGTGGGGACGGTGCCGACCAACTTGTCGTGTTTCATCTTGTACAGGAGGGTCGACTTGCCCGCGTTGTCCAGACCCAGAATGAGGACCCGGGCCTCGGGTTGCGTGGAGCCTCGCTGCCCCATTCAGGTCATACAAGTACAGGCAGGTACTCACGCAGTCTGATGAAGACGTTTTCTTCTGGCTTAGTGTTCACCTTTTACCTGCTCAAATGTCGTTTAAGGTGTGGCATCATTTCCTGTGGAGAGTGTGTCTGACGTTAATAGATCAACTATTAGCTGAGCTGACGGGACAAAGTCATTTTTTTTTTCAACCGTGTGGACACCTTGAAGGAGAAACTGGTGGTGTTTCCAAATACTGTCGGAAAGTGTAGTGCCTCACTGTGAGTTGAATTGTTTTCCGTATACCATACAGTATATGCCGTATGCATAAAGCTCAATTGTTGTTCTATACTGAACACTTTTGGGCTTCTGATCAAAATATGAATATGAGACAAAAGTTTATAATGGCAGATTTTATTTGATATTCACATTTAGTTGTGTTTACCAACTCCGGACAGAGCACCTTTTATTTGAAGTCACCCATTTTTCAAGTGAGCAAAAGTATGCGAACCGACATTTTTAAAGTGAATAACACTTCATGTTTGGTGGTATAATCCTTACTTGCAATAAGTGTGTCAAACTTGCAAGCCATTGACTTCACCAAACTGTTGCATTCTTCATGATCCAATGTGTTGTCTGGTAAACATTTACCCCTGAATTTATACACCCACTGCCGGTCATTGGAAAGAATGCAGAATTTTACAAAAGAGTTCCCCAAGCATAAAAACTAATATTTAAACATTGTCCATTTTCATTCGAAGCAACTTGTGCTAACTTGATTTCAAACCAAATTTTAAATTAAATATATTAACTATAATACTAATGCACAGAATTTTACAAAAGAGTTCCCCAAGCATAAAAACTGTAATATTTAAACGTTGTCCATTTTCATTCGAAGCAACTTGTGCTAATTTGATTTCAAACCAAATTTAAAATGAAATATATTTAACTATCGTACTAATGCATTTATAAAAGTAAAATGCTGATTGTTTATCCATCCAAACCTGTTAATCTCATGAGAGTAACATTTCAATAGAAGTCTATTTTTAGTAGAGTACAAAAACGTTTTAAAAGAGTATTTAAATGTTGTGGTTGAAACATTGCCACAATTCAAATCCAGTTGACAAAGCGGTGTAGATGTTCATTTTTGGATTAATATAAGTGGTAACTTTTCCAAAACATAATTCAAATGAAATGTATGACTGCAATATACTTTATATCAATGTTGAATATAAGATTTCAATAATCTCGTCCATTTTCGTCAACACAAAGGCTGTGACATGTTACATGTTTTGTGTGAAGCATGCCACAGTTCAAACTAAGTTGCTTACAAAATACAATTGTGTAAATATGTCCAATATTGACAGGATCCCCAAACCACAATTCAAATGAAATGTATTACCTACAATATAGTGTCATGTTCGTTACATAACTTTGCTTTTTTTTTCTTTTGCACTACACTTTGAGTTGCAGATTTATGTATAACAAGTGCTATATAAATAAACTTTGATTTATTTATATGAAGGAATATTTCAAAACGTCAGCCCATGAGTGCACTACAGTGTGATTGCATTTGATGAAAACGGGATAAAGTACTGCTGCAAGTGTTTTAAGATTTCAAAACTGCAATCAATGTTTAGTTTAAATGACGTCGACGTTTCAATTACAGTATTTACGTTTACCCAAGTTAAACTTGCTTACAAAAGTGAAGTGAAAATGGTTGAAATTTGAATCGTGGAAGATGTATTATGTTGCCCACTTTTCAAGACCGCACCTCAAATCAATTCTGGTACAACCACCACAACTGTGTCAGTGTTAACATACCGAGGGAGTCCAAAATCCAAATCCACCTTCAATGATTACCAGACTTAGTTCTTATGTAATTCACGGTATCTTTAATGTTCTCCTTCATCGTGGCCGAAGATTCCGACGGGAGTTTGACCATGTGGCCGATCCTCGTGAGAGCCTCCGCCAGGCCGAAGCCCACGGACGCGGAGCACGGTTGGATGAACCAGTCCCTGTTGCCGCAAATCCTCCGCAAATTAAATTCGTCTATGATTTCCATCACGGTCATAGCGCCGTCCACGTCCTGCTTGTTGGCGAGCACGGCGAGCGGGCTGCCGCGGAGCTGCTCGCTCCTCAGCGTGCGCTCCAACTCCCGCTTTGCCTCCGCCGCCCTGGCCCGGTCGGCGCTGTCTACCACGAAGACGACGGCCGCCGTGTCCTGGTGGAAGCTCCGCCAGTGGCGACGCATTTCCGCCTGGCCGCCCACGTCCCACACGGTCAGAGCGAAGTTCTTCTTTTTCCTCTTCACGTCGAACATTTCCACATTGAAGCCGACGGTGGGGACGGTGCCGACCAACTTGTCGTGTTTCATCTTGTACAGGAGGGTCGACTTGCCCGCGTTGTCCAGACCCAGAATGAGGACCCGGGCCTCGGGTTGCGTGGAGCCTCGCTGCCCCATTCAGGTCATACAAGTACAGGCAGGTACTCACGCAGTCTGATGAAGACGTTTTCTTCTGGCTTAGTGTTCACCTTTTACCTGCTCAAATGTCGTTTAAGGTGTGGCATCATTTCCTGTGGAGAGTGTGTCTGACGTTAATAGATCAACTATTAGCTGAGCTGACGGGACAAAGTCATTTTTTTTTTCAACCGTGTGGACACCTTGAAGGAGAAACTGGTGGTGTTTCCAAATACTGTCGGAAAGTGTAGTGCCTCACTGTGAGTTGAATTGTTTTCCGTATACCATACAGTATATGCCGTATGCATAAAGCTCAATTGTTGTTCTATACTGAACACTTTTGGGCTTCTGATCAAAATATGAATATGAGACAAAAGTTTATAATGGCAGATTTTATTTGATATTCACATTTAGTTGTGTTTACCAACTCCGGACAGAGCACCTTTTATTTGAAGTCACCCATTTTTCAAGTGAGCAAAAGTATGCGAACCGACATTTTTAAAGTGAATAACACTTCATGTTTGGTGGTATAATCCTTACTTGCAATAAGTGTGTCAAACTTGCAAGCCATTGACTTCACCAAACTGTTGCATTCTTCATTTGAAGTGATTTTCCAGGCCTTTACTGCAGCCTCTTTCAGTTCTTGTTTGCTTCTGGAGGTTTCTCCCTTCAGGCTCCTCTTCATGGGGTGAAATTCCTTTGGTGAAGATTAACCTCTACTAAATTGATGGAAAGGCCAAAGTATCGAGAAAGAAAGGCTCTGCTTTTGATCCAAAAGACACAAGCTCATTTGTGAAGCATGGTGTAGGGCAGAATGTTCTGGTTTACGCTTGCACGGCTGTTTTTGGAACGAGTTCAATAGTCTTTATTGATGTACCTCATGATGGTCGTCTCTTCATATCAAAATAGGGCGAAGCATAAGAACAGCTTGTGGGTCAATTTTTATTAATATTTCTTATACTATAACATTGTACGTTCAATTTTCTCGTATTTTTGTGAAGAAGTGTGTCATAATACCTGCATATCATCATAGCTTGGAAACATTATCATTTTACACATACAGTACACCAATAAAACTTGACACGATTTGATGAGTCAAGAAATTTTGTCATGTCACCTCATATTTACTCGTGAGATGGCTAATAGCTCAACCACATCATAACAATAGATTGCAACAACGCCAAAAACAGAGTATTGTCCGTCACACAGTGCCTAAAAATACAAAGAAGAGGCTTTATTGTTAAACATGTCAAGGGCCAAGGCGATATAATGAATTGTCGACTGCTTTATTGGTTGTGCTCCAAAACAAACAAGTGAACACAACAGTCCACTTGGAGAAGTCAAACCTGATTGTACAGGCATGTAGTGACATGTGACAAGTGAGGAAATACCATCTGATTTCCACGCCCTTCAACATACCGCAATTTAGAACACTTCACAGGCTCATTCAACTATATTACACCCACAACGAACCAGTCAGGTGCTTCTGGAAAGAAAATGAAATTGAAATTGGGCTCATTTAACCCTTTGCTGGAGACCTTCTGAAACAACTTGCTATTTCCTCAATCAAACCCAATATCATTCTCAGTCGATCACACGTACGAGTCAACATCATACAGAAAAATAAATGTGTTCAAACAAAGGGAAGACCAATGCCAGGGACAATAAATACATAAACATTGCGTTTACCTTGACACTGTATCTCTCACTTTCTCTTTAATTCCAGCCCATTTCATTTGTATAAATACCATGCATGTAAAGAATACTGTGCTGTGTTCTTGGTTCCCTAGAACACAGCTGCAGAGTCTGCATGTAAACAAAACTTTTTTTTTTTTCATCTGATGGCCCACTTCTCTTCATCTTGGGCTCACGGTGTCCCCCAATGAACTCCAGCATTGACCGCATGAATGTGTCAAGTGACTAAATCAATAAACGCGATCGATCCACTCAAATCCAAGGTGGACCAGGAGACAATCATTATGAATCTGCTCTACGTAAAAGGGTGCAGATTGTCATATGTTGGGTGTGCCAAATCCAAAGGCCAACACACCTTGATTTGTGTTCTTCCTCACTTGATTTACTGGAATCATTCTGTTCGGGGTGCATCTGCGTTCAAGTTCTCGTCCATTGCTCTCTCGGCTTCACCCACACGCCGCCGGTCGGGTTGTCCACGATATACACCAGCCCTGTGGTGTCCCGGTGGCCATGGCTCCGAGGTGAGCGGCCCGCTGGCCTCTCCGGTGCTGGCCGCTTCGCAGGGTGTCGGCCGACCGACCTCTGGATGCATGCGTCCTGGCTTTGAGAAGAACCCGCGTCCGCCTTGTGAGACAAATCCACCGCGGCCAAACTCTGGAAAATCACGCGTGCCTCCGATAGAGATTTGGAACCTTGGTGACCCATTTTTGATCCAAACTCCACAAAATCCAAAACTTGATCTCTAAAATGGCACCGTGTACTTCAGCCACGAAGTCCGCCCGTGCGCCTCTGGCGTGTTTAGTGAAGTGTTCCCGTTAAGCGGTAATGTGACTCAGTGGGTTTTGTGGTCACCAGACACTTGCGTTCTGGTCCGGACTATTCTGAGTGTGTGCACCTGGTGCAGTCTATCACTTGGACATGCAGGATCATGCATTGACGTAGAGGAGTTGGATATCTCTGCCCTGTGCATTGTTCACATCGTAGACTGTTTGGCAGACACGGTTGTCACGCCGGTGATGTCACCACTGTTCTTATTATTGATGGAACTCCAGTCCTCCCTAACTAAAGACTCATTTGTCCTCCTGGAAGCTCTACTGTAATACTGCCATATATAGTAAGCCTGTCAGGAGAAAGATTCCTGTCTGAAAATTTTAAAAGGGTCTGCTACCGGTTGCAAATCTAAGTAACATTTGGGAAAGATTTATGGCGAGTTAGGCTTGCTTTGTAGAACTATTCTAATTTTTGTCCTCAGCACAACGTACTTGTATTTTCAATGGGAACACGGTAGCTCAAATTCCAACAGTTGGTATGCTAGCATACAGAGGGGTTTGGGCTTTTCTCCATTTCCCACAATTCCCTGCCGGCGGACATATTTACCGCACTTGTCGTACTTCTCCATCGCCACAGATTGTCATAGTTCACGAAAAAAACTTTCAGTCGCGCAAACTAATCTATATACACTTAAGAGCATACCAGCCTTCGCAATGAAAAGGTGAAGTGGCCCCCCATGCCCACTATGGTTTGCTGCATGGAATTGTGGGATATATTACGATGTTTGGTACAAAGGTTGAACACATCTGTCGCAAGATGGCATCTGCCTGAGTGCAGAAACTACAGAAGCAGATTGACGAGGATTTAACATTGTGCCCATTGGTCAGGTACCTACTGTGTCAAGAATAGTTTACAATGCTAATTAGCTAACAATTTTTACGCACATACTGAGTACAGTGACCACAAACCTAGATTGCTAATTAACATTGTGCTCTATGGGCACGTACTACAGCTTTATTGAAAGAGAATATACTTCAGTTGCTAACATGCTAATAGTCCGTATGCTAACTTATCGCAAGATGGCGTCTGGAGTACAGAAAACACGAAGGCAGATCGAGAAGGATTTTAAAATTGTGCCCAGTGGTCAGGTAGTAAGTATTCTGAAAGGCAAATATGTGTAAAGCAAATACTATACATTGTAAGCATTCTTGAGTTAAATGCTTTGTTCTTCTGATTGTTTTATAAAACTTATTTTGCGTATCGGCCGGATGCAGTCACGTGGTCCACGAGTCATGAGGTTCCCCTGAACCATGTAAATGATAAAGTCCACATTGTAGTGATGGGTATGTTTTTTATTGTAAAACAGAAGAACAAAAATAACATGAATATACAGTACACAGATTTGGCAATCTGCTCGACTCCAAAAATTCAATAAATAAGGCATATAAGGCAAATTGAAAATAAGCGCTTTGTCTTTGTTCACAAAGAAGCCACCTTTCAAGGGTAATTTAGTTGGAATTTTGCATGGAAATGTTTTAAAGGAAAAACCTTTAAAATTTGTGCAAAATAATGTTCGTGGTTAAATTGCTTACATTTTTTTTTTTTTATGTTTGTGGAATAATGCTCGGCTCGGACAACATTAAATTCCAGTGAGAACACAAAATTCATTGAAATGAATATACTGATGTTTTACCATTGCTTTTACTTGAAATGTGTCACCTCTGACTACACTGGTCATACTGTATATTGCTTCAGGAGCTCCTCACATGACTTTGACTGTACGGGTGCAGCTGCAACACCATGTCTCATCATTCAGATTCTCATGGCACGGGCTGCTTTTGTTCATGAGCTTCAGAGAAGTGCACAGAAGGACCGCTAATAAACCGCATCAGGTACTCTCCAGTCAAATCCTCTTGCGGAAGTGACTGATGTCAGCAACTAAAAGTGCATTTTAAGTGTGTCCAGTGGTGACTTGAGATACCCGATTTAGGAGTTTTTCGGGATACAAACTGCCGTTCGGATGATTTTATTTTATTTTTTTGCATGCATGCATATGTATTATACTGCCTCCAGGTGGCCAAGGCATGCGCACCATATTCTTTACATTCTATTTAATTATGTAATTACCGCATACTTTTATAACGTATACTGTATTATGCAATGGTATTTTAAAAAAATCTTTACGGTTTTTTTTTTCAATTCTTTCGATATTCCGCCCCAATTTTTTTTTTTATTGCGTGGGTTGGGGGAGGTGCTGGAATGGATTAATAGCATTTCTTTTGATTTCAATGGGGAAAGATGATTTCAGATACATTTTGTTACGAGCGTGGTCACGAAACAAATCAAACTCATATCTCAAGGCACCACTGTATTATGAAGTTGAATATGATTCCAGTCATATGTGGAAGCATTGACAAGTTCCTCCTGATCTGCAATGTTAAGATCAAACTATTTCCACATCTCGTCCTAATTTATTTTTCTCAACTGTAGCATACTTGGCATCTTTTTAGGGAGATCACTTCATTTGTACAAATGCCGTTTCATCATTCAATGATTTTAGAGTAGTATATATTGTATCACAAATTTGCATGTTTTACTTGTTTCCTTTGACATACCCTAAATAAACTGCTTAAGTTAATTGAAGACTTAATTGCTCATTCCGTAGGTGTGAATGTGATTGTGAACGGGTGTTTGTCGTTATGCACCCTGCGATTCACCTACATCCAGTCCAGATGATTACAAAAGTCAGCTGAGAGACCCACAAATGTAATCAACTTTAAAATCATTCAGTGGAGTTACTCGCTAACATTCTTATTCCAGCGAGTCATTCTTTTCTTGTCAGTGAACCGATTATTAGTTTTCCAATCCTTAAAATTATCAATGTCAATTGCTCTGGAATGTTGCGCAAAGGTAAACAAGTGGTTTTGATGCAGAGCGGTTATTTGTTAACGCCTACTTTAACTGGGGCAAGGCGTCTATTAGGGCGAACGCCACTATTTGAGGAAATCTGGAAAAATCAGAACATTGTTGCAATGCAGCAAAAGGGCTGATGTTTTCCCCACACATTACAGTTAGGCACTAACCATCGCCCCTTCTTGAGAAACTCCCTTTGGACTGCACCAATCGGGTACAGTAAGCTATAATACTTGAATGATACATGCTGGTACTTTCTCTTCAGCACTGATTAATGGTATTTAGACTCCCTTGTCTCAATTTGATGTTTGATTCAACCAGTTGTACACTTTTCCAATACTCGTGCTCGTCTCTGTCCTCCTGTAATATTGTACACAATGAGTAAAATCACATACAGTCCACTTGACTTATTCCCCCGCCTTGCTGCTCCCTCCCGCCCCGCTTTTGAACTTGACCACCATGACGGTGATGTTGTCTGGGCAACCGCGATAGAAGGACTGCAGGACGATGCTTTTGGCGCCAAAGTGCGGCTCGTCCAGGCGCTCGCGGACAAAGCGCACCGCCTCCTCGTTGCTGAAGGCGTCCCACAGGCCGTCAGATGCCAGGATCATGAACTCCGGCTGTAGTTTGTCCAGGTCGAACGTCATGATGTCCGGGTCGGGGATGACCACGTTGAGGTTCTTTAGTGGGTAGTCGCCGAGTGAGCGAGACATGGCCAGAATTCCCTGCACTCGCCAGGAACCGTTAAAACTGATGAATCCTCCTATGGAAGGGTTAGAAGTTGCTGTGTCAGAATAGACCAGGAGGTGGCATCCAAGCGCTGCAAAGCACTAGCTCAATGGTTCCCATTATTTTTTTTAAAGAGGCTTCAAGCTGTTAGTCAGTCCCATCTTAAGTCTATTGTCAAACTAAACATAAAACCAGAACTGCAGTGTGTCTTTAAAAAAAAAAAAAAAATCAAGACTATGAATCCATGTCATTTTTAGATGTTTGCGACCAAGCCGAATGGGTCCACAATCCACTTTTGGAACCCGACCCACTAAATTACAGCAACTGTGAAATAGTTTGTGTGTCTCTGTCTGTATTGTACTATGCAAGCAAATTTTTATGACAGCTAGAATAATTAAATGCTGTTCATGTCAGAATATATATTCTTGATTAAAAAAAAAGGGGCCTTGAAAGCTTGGAACCGCTCCTTGAGACACCACATTCATCTGTTATTATTATAAGTTTTCTTCTTATCTTACCCGCCCTCTTGATCCTCTTGCGCTCTTTGAGCTGATAGGGTTTGTGGTCGTGTGACAGTGCGACGGCGTTGCCGTCTTTGTCGCACAGGACACCGCGGGAGTCGCCGACGTTGGCTACTGTCAGTTCTCTGTCTGACAGTAGCGCCACCAGACACGTGGTTCCTGGACAAGGCATGTTTGGGAAGCACATAAAACATCTGAAGAAAATTCTGTACAGTGTCTTCACTGGAGATGCATTTGGTACATCCATCAAATTCAAAGGTGAAACATATGCTGACAAAGATGATTTAAAAGACTGTTGTTAGATAAGGCGCATCCCCGTAATGTTTCTTTCGCACTGGCTTAAAGAGCTTCTGATAAACGGCACATACTTGACTCCTTGTTGAAGTTGATACGATGGCAGTGGGTAATTGTGTTTGGTGATATATCAAGTTTCCACATGGAGTGCATGAAGTGCTGCCTCCAAGAATGAAAATAACATTTTGTTGCTTTCCAGGCCAAGAAGCCAACTGAGTCGCAAAAAGAGTTCCTGCTCATTCCCCTGGTCGTCATTGTAACTGAAGCTGGAATATCCACAATCTCACTTGGAAAATTACAACAAAGCTTGCTTATTATTCACGTGCAACCTTCATCAGAGGGTCACACTCACAAAATATGTAAGGTAAATTAAGAAACTTATTAATTCCAATTGAAGATCATATGAATGTTACGCTTATTCTTGTGCATTAACTAATGTACAAAATGGTCCTCGAGCCTTTTTCATCGCCTTAAAACAGTCACATCATTTCAAGTTCTTTATAATATGCTACCTCCCTTTCAGCGCAAAGAACTTCCTGTATACTGACCCGCCTCATCGTGATTGGCAGACAACTTGTCCAGTATCTCTCGGTCCACGTTCAGGATGCGCTGCTCCAGGACGCCGGCGTAAGACGGAGCACTTTCCTTCCTTTCTCGCTCCAACGCCTGCAGCTGCTGCCTCAAGGCTTCGGGCAGGTGGGCCTTCACATAGTCAGCCGCAGCCTTGTGAAAAGGGGGCGGGGCAGTTGAGGAGACAAAAAAGGAGGTGTGAACAGATGCTACGTCACAAAGCAGGTTGTTCTCATTTCCAAAGTTTGAGAGAAGACCCAAAGTAATGTAAAGGCTTTTATCAGACCATTTAATTGTACAATTCATCCAAATTTATCAGTGACAATTTCTCAACAGTTACCAAATGTTTATCCATCAGTCATTTGTGATGTCAGTCAATCCTGTGAGACTTCAGCTTAGTGAGCAGCCAAATGATTTTAACTCCACTTACATTTTGTTTTTGTGTGTGCGTGTTTTGTGTAGAGACACCGCAGAAGTGTACCCGTGACAGCAAAGATGGAAACTGTTCTGAAGAAAATGGACCTTTTCACGTGCCTGTCAAGCATCTTTATCAGGTGAGCGGTTTCACTTTACTTTCACTTTATTTAGCTTTTGTCATTTTGATTATGTTAAAATGTTATTTGCATTTAGTGGTAATACACATTTTTGATGGTTTCAGCCGGGACCGTATTACTTTCTATTTATCCATTCTCCATCCAGGTTTGATTATTGCCTTCATGTCTTCGTGCTCCAACTGAAATTACGTTACTGTAACTGCTAACTTTAAGAGCAGCGGCTGGTCAGTCTCGGAACACAAATAAACATAATCAAAACGCTGACAAAAGATTACGGCCACAGAGAAACCCAATAAATAAAATATAACACGGACTGGTATTGTTGGTATTGGTATTGAGAGGGTGTCGAGTTCCGTGGTGGCTCCGCAGCAGGAGGATCGAATTAAAAAAAAAAAGTTCATTTAATTTTTCAGCCAGAGAAAATTCTTCAGGAAATTAAATCCTTAAGCTTCAAATTGCTGTGCCAACAGTCTGGAAATGTGTACAGTATGTCTAACCACATTAAATCATTTCAAAATAAACTAACTAAACAGAAATTGCAGTTGTTCTCAGAATAATAGCACTTTTAAATAATTTCCTGACGTTGCACATTCTATTCCAAATCAAAATACCACATAAGATGCGTGTCAAATGAACAATTCCTCAAAAAAGAGGCTTCAAGCAGCTCAATGCCACTCCCAGTTGAAGTTTACCGTCAAAACTAAATTTATATGTTGTTTAAAACCGATAGCTTTGCCTTATGAAAGTGTGCTTAGCTTAATGCCAACAAACGATCCACATTGACATGGACGTGGTTAGCATCAACAATTTCCGTTTTAGAAGCAAAGGATATTTGAACACACAGATAAAATAACAATATTCACAGGCATGTATTCTTTATCCTCGATTAAAAATGACTATTACTGTACAGCATTTTACGGAGCCACTTCTAGTCGTAGAAGTAGTGTTCTTCTTTGTCTGCATGACTGCATTATACTGCCTCCTTGTGGCCAAGGCGGGCAGTGGGGGGGGGGTTCCTGGTGACAGATGGCTACAATGGGACGCTCAGTCTGACTAGATGAAATCCACTGACCCTTGAGGACACATTGAGTGGAAGAAAGACCCCCCCCCCCCACACACACACACACACACACACACGTGAGCTTTCTTTGTCATGCATTAGCAGAAGGAGGTGCACACAAAGAAACACAAAGCAGTGGTAATGATGGGAACTTCTCTATTACTCTACTATTTCATTGAATATAATACTACTACTGTGGCTAAATAAAGACGACTTTCACATTAGTGCACTACACTCTAATACCAGAACACACAGTCACTTTCTGTGTAGCCTCTCTGCATCTAGTGATGCTGATCGTGTATTTTGGGGTTCAGATGAGACCAATTGACGCATTCAGGTGCAACACGGAGGCCCGCGCCGCTTACCTCCCCCCCGTGGCCGTCAAAGATGCCGAAGATGGACGGGTGGCTCTTGTTGGCGATGTCGGTGAGCACCTCGTAGCGATCCTCCATGTGGTCCCTTCTCCCTTGTATGGAGTACACGGCCACGTTGTCGCTCTTGAACTCCCAGGTCTTTGAAAACTCGGCGTCCAGCACGCTGAGGCCTCCCAGCCGCTCGTTGTGCATCATCTCGGCCACTTTGCCCTTCACCATCTTCACGGCGTCGCGGCTTGACTTGACGATGGTCTTCACCTCATCCGTGTGGAAGAAGTAGCTCCACAACGCCAGGCTGATGCACAGCAGGAACAACGTCTCTGGCCTTAGGAGAAAATAGCGCATGATCCGACCCAGAAGAGACAAGAGCGTCATCGTGTCTCCTATCATCACACGCCGCCCAAAGCACGGTTCACTCCATCAACGGGGGACATTGAACGCACCACCGCAGCCACCAAGGCCTGCCGGAGCTTCTGCGGCCGCGACTACCGCACGCCGGGCGGCTATGACTCAGACGGCGGGGCCACCTTCATTCGCTTCGGGTTTAAATCAGCAGCGAACTGACTTCCGACCTAAGCCCGAGGTCTCGCGGTCCATCTCGGGAGGTGGACGCGGATGTTGTTGGTGGCTCAGACCCACCCAGAGGAGAGCGACACGGGGGGGCGGGGGTAGGAAGAGCCGGCCTCCTTTCAGCTGCGGCGGACTGTGGTTTTACTTCTCACGGCGAATCAGTACGGCGTTTAACCCCAAAACACACACAGACACACACGGACACACACACAGTACTCTCCACGAGAGCAAAATAATACAGAAAGAAGACACGCGTAATACGGAAAGAAACACTTTGTTTTGAAAATCTAAATCGGATGTATCGACATTCGAACGCTCACTCTGATGCGCTCACTCTGATGCGTACTACTCAGTGATGTCAAGTGCGCAGCCGCAACACTTCGGTCGAAAACGGTCTGTGTTGGGAAAGCAAAAGTACATTTTTATCACTCGCCTTGAATTTTGTTTTTGCGAAATCTCCATCCGAACATTCCGCCATAGACCAAAGAGTATTAGCGTCTCACAGCAAAAATGGAAACGTCACACTGAAATTGCAGTCATAATAAAGTGTGAATAAAATCGCGTATAGTTTTATTGTTGTAATATGACAACAATAAAATTAGATATTTTTAAGAATGAACATCAACGATTTGGGATTAGAAGACACAATATTATGATTAAAGTCAAGTTTATAATACGGGGTGTTTTATAAATCTATGTTACGGGAATAACGGAAGAGGATTACGGCCAGTGAAAAAAAAGACAAAGCAATTGATCTTAAGTTTTTGTAGCAAAAAAACCCTAAAAAATCCAATAAATTAATGGTTTATTAATGTTTTCACAAATTTTCAATATGCCTTTACACGGCATACATCAAAACGGTATTCAATTTCTTGCCAAATGTGAACAGGCAAATCAGGATGGATGGTTGTTCGTACTGACTTTCGTGACTCTGCTGGAAGGTGTTACGAACTTGTTCAGTCGTTTCAGTTCAAGTCGCCGTACGTTTACGCAAAAAAATGCCATTGATTGGGACGTCACACTGGTTTGTGACCGCTGCAGAAAACGAAGATTTCACCTTCCAACCAAAACCGGTTTTATCTACGTCCCTTGCGAGTTCCTAAAATATGACTCTTTGAAAAGTAACATAGTTGAAGTATAAAATGTGTTTTATTCTTGCGTCAGGTTCCTTTGGATTAACCTGCAAGAAATAATTATAATAACTGAAATTGAAATAAAATTGCTCCACAATTATATTTTTTTCAGTCTTTTTGGCAAGCAAAACCTATGCTAAACAATATGGATTTTCTGTACTATTCCATTTGTTTGACTGATGATGATGTAATCATCGTAATAATTTTTTGTTTGTTTGTGTTATTACTTAATGTTTCCTGTCCCCTGTTCTGTCATTATTTGATATCAGGTGCTGGAATTGCAGTACTGGGGCAGTGGCGGGGCATTGGAGGATTACTCCAAAGCAATGAGGCGCACCTTTCCTTCAAAAGGTAACATGCCGGTCTTTTCAATCTGTACTTCGTGATTGCGTGTTGTTGCTCTTGTAAAGATAAAAAAAAAAAAATCCAAGCCTCATAACTGTGAAGCAGTCTGCTATACCCACAGCTCACCACTAGGTGACAGTGTTGCTTTTCAAACATCTGTTGGTTGTATCAGAGGTTAAAATTTTACTTTGCTTTAGTTTTATAAAATTGTGGGTCCTTCCTCTGGTAGGGCAGACTGGGGACCGTTACAACACTTGCGATTGCTCCAATCAGGAACAAGGTGGGACATGATAATTTTGTACTCAGTCAACATGTGAAAAGTAGTGTGAAGTTGGTTGAACAATTGTAAAGGAAAACACTCATCGTGAAACTCGCTTTCACAAAAAGTAAAAAGACACAAACAGCAATAATTGACATACTTCAAGATGGCGCTGGAAGTGGAGCTGAGAAGGTGAAATGAAAGACACACTTCAACAAAAAATGCTAGATTGTTGTCCAGAGTGCACGGTGGAATCTTTTGTGCAATTGTATTTTCATACATTTTCATATGTTAGTGTATTTCAAGTCCTCTGCAGAACCACAACATTTTCAAAACATGCTTTGAACAGAAAGGTTTTGGTATAGCCAATAGTGCTCACCAGTCTCAAAAATGTCACAATTGCCCGCTAGTCATCGAAAACTCGAACATGTCCACAAGTTTGAATGAACCTGTGAACCTTTTTCCCCTGTGATTAACTGGCGACCAGTTGAGGTTGTACTCTGCCTCTTACAAGAGTCATTTAGAAAATGGATGGGTTGATCTCTCAATGGAAATTATCCACGTAGCTTATTCCACGAGAGGACACATTCTGCTTATTTTCTAAATGCAAACTTTCAATTGTTTTGAAGAGCAATCACACACCTGACATTTTCTGAAGTGTTGTGCATTCTTACTGATCTCCATGTCTCAACTTTGTAGACATTTCCGCTGGTCTTTTAAGAAAAGGTTAAAGGTGAATTGCATCCTCCATCGCACAGCAACACGCAACACCTGCGATAAAACGGATGCGGGTTAAAACAAAGCCCGGTTGACGCGACACTGAAGAGCTCTCTTTGTGCACCTCGGCACGGATAACCCTCTGCAGTAAAGACACGACATGACACAGCCATCAATTACCACTCGGCGTGTTCTCGCCATACAGTGAAAAATGGCATTGACTTTTACAAATGTTACATCCCTGCTAAGAGAGGCACTAACTCACTCGACTGCACACAACAGCAATCTATCTAAGAGACACATTTCTAAAAATATATATATTTTTATTTTACAGTGACATTCTGCTGGAAGTCGCCCGGCTGTGATGAATTTCCTCCCACAGAGAGTTTGTAAGTTCCATTTATATTATTAAGGGTTGAGCTTTGAAAATGTTGTTAAGAAAGTAAACGTAGAACTCTTTGGACACGTATTATTGATGAGAAAAACGGTCATAAATTCGGATCTGGGTTAAGGATTGTATTGCAGGTACATCTCCAGTATTATCTGCCCTTGGTTACTTAGACATGCTCAAAAGTGTCATATAAAAAGAAATAAAACACAATGGGTTCCCAACATGTTACAAAATGATGTTTTTTTTTTCCATAATTTGTACGTTTAGTCCAGAAAGTTTATTTCTTCTGGTCAAAATTTACTGATTCAATCATAGTATCTCAATTTATTTGAATGTCATGTAACGTTTAAGTTATCTGATTAGTTCAATTCAAAAAGTGGCACATTTTGAGTCAGGGAACACAAACTGGAATCTTTTTTTGGATTTTATTTTTCATATTAATGGTGACAGGTATCTACAATCTGCCAGATTCACATCAAGAAATTAAAATATTGCACAAGAAAGAATCCAAATTATTTTTCTGGAATAGATTAGCCCTTTAGATTATTTTATGACATACGCAGTAGCAAAATCTGACAAATCAATGTTAATTTATGTTGTGTAAAAATGATATACGATACGTGCAAGTGACTACATGACTGATCACTTAGCATGTCCGCAATCTATTCTCAGTGTGACGCAGCGCAGGTGCACCCCACTGGAAACTCCAACCACAATACTAAATATATTGTAAGTAATAATAATAAGAGTACTGTAACACCAATCAACACAAACATTATTTTTTTGAGTGTCATTTTTTCTCATGCATTCTTCATGCCACCAGTCTTGCAAAAACTGATCTGTCGTTGGCTAAAATGAAGAGAAAATATAAATTTGTCAAGGAATCCAGTACAGACAACTGACATAATAATGTTAAATAAGAGTCCACATGCAGGTACTTTTTTGAAGAGTGTACATTTCTTCCAAATTACCTCCAATTTCATATTGGTGGTCTTGCGTGTCGGGGTGTGTGTGTGTGTGTGTGTGCGCGCGCGTGTGTGTGTGTGTGTGTGTGTGTGTGTGTGTGCGTGTGCGTGTGTGTGTTCAAAATGCATCCTGCTTGTTTGTTTATAGGCCGGTCTGTAAATATGTGTGCGCGTTTATGTATTTTAGACTACTGGGCGTGAATATATAAATAACTACGTTGGCAGTGTGTGCAGTGTAATCTGTTCCCAGCAGGCTGGATTCCCACTGAGAGAAAGACAGTATATTGTTCCTGCAGCAGCGCAGATAACAACTAATTAGCATACTGAATCATTTGGCTGCAAGAGCCACTCAGCCACCCATCTGCACAGAGCTGATAAACACGCACACCCGCGTGCGCGCACACACACACACACACACACACACACACACACACACACACACACACACACACACACACACACACGCACACGCACGTACGTCTATGCAGAGCGTGCACTCCTACTCGGACACACATGCGCAGGCCTCCTCTCATGCACGCTCCCTCTCTTTTTGGCAAGTTTTCGGGAGCGTCAGGAACAGTGAGGCAGGTAGAAGGATTAACCCAGAGGGCCCCCTCGGTGGAGCCGGAGCGGGCAGCACGCTGCGGCTTTTCAAACACATGCGTGTCTCGCACGTTTTCCGGAAGTAATTGCCTTTTTTTTTTCATTAAGGTCCTAAGGCGTCTCTAACTTATTCCGATCAGTTTTTCCACTTCTTAACCGATTTTTGAAATGTAAGAGACCCCACGTGAAAAAAAATAGACATGGTGTGCTTCCTCTGCTGATGGTAGTTGTGTGTGGTGTGCTCAAGATGACCGACACGGCACACCACTCACATAACAACACTTCCACCCAGGGCCAATCCTAGCCAATATGGCGACGATATGCATGCACTTACGAAAGAAGTCGAATCATGATTGTTTTTACCATTTCCATGCTCAACGTTAGTTGTGAAGTTATGGAAAGAGATTTGTTAATCCGCACAAGATTTGATCTGGATTTGACTAAAATCATAAAGCAAAGTCTTGTCTTCTTATTAGTGACTGCCAATGAGGTGCATGAAATGAAGTGATATTTCCACTCAATTGAGGATGGAGAGAATTAGGCCTTGAGTGACTTTGTTACAGCTGCAACTGTTGAGAAAGCGCGGTACAAATCAAGATTTATTTTATCGAAAAGGTGTGTAGTGGGGGGCGGGGCATTGTTAACTTTGCTTGGACGGCATAAAAACTTCGGCCTGATTATCGTCATGTCTCTGTCCCGCTTTTGCTGGACTCGCGCTTTCTCTAACATTCATTTGCCTCACTGTCAATGGTGTTCCTCTGCATTTTCACAATCTCTTGTGAATATTGAGCAGTTTTCACATTTGTGATTGTTTTTCGAGTTGGATCGGGGAGAAAAAAAAAATCACACGAACCACTCCCCGCCACGCCCCACCCCAGAGGATAATCACTCAGGATCCTTTTTGAGAGGCATTCGAGAAACAGACCTCTGTCGACTTTGATCGGAAGGCCTGAAAAGAAAATGGCCCCTCTTATCTTATGTGTGTCCTGCACTTTAACCTTTTCTCACTTTCTCTTGCTCATTTGTCTCACTTTCTATGGTTTCTCAGATTCAACATTTACAATGTTCAGCCATGGCTGTCCTCTGAGCCGATCCGGGAAAAAAAAATCCATCTTGACACAGTCCCGACCACACTCGCATCCGATAACAGGGCCTTAACTTTTAGACTTCACCAGGCGGCATGCTCAAATTTGTTCTAATTATCGGTACGTGTGGACTGCACTTTAGAGAGAGAGGGAGCTGGATTGGCGCATTGCAGACACAACAGCATGCAGTATATGCGGTCAAAGTGTAGGGGGGGGGGGAGGCTGTCGAAGGCTCCTTGACAATGGCAGGATATCCTGCAGGTCACTGAGCCACGATGACCTCGACAGGAAGTTGTCATTTGCCGGGAGGAAGTGAGGATTCCAGCGTCCACGGAGGGAGATGCATGACGAGGTTGCGGCTTTGAAGAAGTGGAATGCCACTTTCAGCCTGCGAGGGTCGCTCAGGAATCTACACCGACTGGCCGCAACATTAGGTACACCTGCACAATGGAATGAGATCCAATGCGAAGAGTAGCTACAAACATTTGCTTTTACGATGTCTGATGATCGACAATAGTTGTTGGTTTTGCAATGGTGTTTTCCAATATTTTCCGCTGTAGAAAGACAATCAAACGCATTAAACACTCACGTTGACTGAAGCGGTGTTCTACGGCATCTCCACTTTGCTGCAGTGGCCCTTTTTTCTTTTTCTTGCGCCGCCGATCCAGGGCCATTTGTGTTTTCAATGATTCATTTAAACTACCTTTCCCAATGGAAAAATTGCATTTGTTGCTTGTCGCTGCTGCCTGAAATGTTATCAGTTAAATCTTTCAGAAATGTTCTACTTTTACATATCGTTTCATTGACAGGAAGTGACATCAAGCAGATCCTCAGCAGGCTATGGGAAAACCAAAAGTAAATTCACTCATTTATTTTTCTGCATTTTTTTATGAGATTAATCTGCTTAGTGTCAACATAATATTAGCATCTATGGCTATACAGTATTTAATCCATTTGCTAATTCAATGCTAAACTTTTTTTTTTTTTAGTCCTGTTACTCAAATGAGGACTTTCAGCACAAATGCAGACAATTCTGAGTACTTGAATGTTTTTGTTTTGTTTTTAAAACAGATTTAGGATTGAGCAATTATGCAAATTGTAATTTTGGTGGAATGAGCCTAATGCAGTTGTCACCTCATCATGTAACAAATAATTGAACTCTCCGATTGATTGTAATATATACTGCTAAAAAATAAATAAAGGGGACACGTAAACAGCGCAATGTAACTCTCAAGTGTTCCCTTTATTTTTTGGAGCAGTATATAACGTTCACAGCAAATGAACCCTTTCACGCACCCTCTAACCTGATCAGATGATAAACTGTCCACGGTAGTAACCGCTGTCCCTGAAAGGGTTCAATATCAAATCACAAGTCGGTGAAAATTGTGACACACAAATATTGATGACACGACTGTAGTTCACTTTCTGTTAAAAAGGAGTTTAGTGTGGAAAATGCTTGCAATCTGTGAAAAGTGAAGAAAATGAGCCATTTTGCTTCAGGTTTTCTGTCAAAATGAAGGGAACAAACCCAGGCGTTTGTTCCATTCACACTTGTGGACAATTCATCCGAAGAGTAGTCCAATCCCGATGTCATTCAGGGTGAATCTTTCTCAATGATTGAGCACGTCGGAGACTTTTTGGTCTGCATCTTTTATTCGGTTTTTGTGTAAAATTCAATGGATTTAACATTGGATATATTCATAGATACATCTAACATACAACAAATATGTCATAACCAAACGTACAACGTCCCTTTACCGCAATTCATCAAATACCATAGTTTCCAAAGGTACCAATATCGGTGACTCAGTTCTGCGGAAAAAGGCAGAATGCACAACACCAGTGAGCAAATAATGTGGACCGTCTCTTGTCAGAAAACTGCTGGTGCTGTCACGATGTTTGTCGTCGGGGTTCAACTTGGCAACGAAGGGGCTTGTCTTTGTACCTTTCTAAAACTACATACGCATTAGTTAAGAAAAAAAAACCAGACATTCAAGTCAAAATGACGTCATGGCCGACATTTTGTACACCTCGAGAATCATCGTGTTCTTGTACCTCTCCTGCAAAGTTGCATCAATTCGTTTTGAGTCCATTGTCGTTTTCTCGCCGCCAAACTGGAACGAGATTTTAAATGGTACCAACATTTCATATTTACGAGTCCCGGCCGCTTGCTTTACATATCTTTTCAGCTAAACCTGTGAACAAACAGCACACGATAGGTACATCTTAAACCACATAACATTGTTCCGTGGGAATATAAAAGTATTTACAAGACACCATTGCTTGACTACGATAAGACTCGAGGACTTTTTTTTTCTTATATATACTAAGCTATGTTTTCATGGGAATTTTGTGGAAGTGCTCCCCCTGAATTTCTATATTTAAAAAAAAAAAGTTAGGATTAGAGCTGGAACAACTAAAGATTTTAACTATAATGGTGGTCAACTGTATGGCTTTATGTGTTCCTAAACATATTTTTGACATCGGTTCCAAAAATGCATACTTTTTTTTTTTCCCCAGCACATTTGGTCTTTGAGATATTTCTATTTTTTGTTTTTAAGTTTGACCGATAAAAGCTTGCGCAATAGAAATGTTGCCATCCATTGTTATTCATATCTATGACGTTTCAGGAAAAAAAAAAAAATCCACCTGCAACTCAACCAAACACTTAATTCATAATTCCTGAATACGTTACTATATTATGTATTATTGTGATTATATTGTGATGAAAATCGGATGTGCTCGAGAGAAAAAAAGGAAGGCAGATTTGGAATCAGTGCCAAAAAATGAAAAGTGTACTTACATCTGTGATATTTTTCCAGTACAGTACAGTGGTACCCAACCTTTTTTTTTTTTAGCACCAGCATAGAAACTAAAAAACAAAAAAAGTTTTTTATTTTATTTATTTTTTGTTGCTGTTTCTATTTCGCTTATGCTTTAATTGCATTTGAGGCTAGCATTTGCCGGACTGCGAAAAGTGTTACGACACAGTATCGTAAAGCAAGAAAATAGTCATGATGTTGGTTGGTGCTTGTTATGATATGAAAAAAAAAAAGTTCTCCTGATGATACAGACGCAGTCCCCACACATTATCGGACGTAACATGTTGCAACGAAGATGGAGCTGCACTTCATGCAAAAGCCTCCGTTGTTTACTTCCTGCTAGGCTGCTACGTCTGCACTTCCAAATATGGGCACGCTGGCAACCGGGGGTTTTGTGTTGCCACCCTGTGACTTTTTCACACTGAGCAAGTACAGTCTGAAAAGTGCTTAATTGTTCAGCCCGATAAGATTTGGTTCTTTTCATGTGCATCTTGAAATGATCTTTTTTTTTTTTTTTTTCCTTCTCTGTCAATGGGGAAAATGATTTCAATGACTTTTAGTAACCTTATGAAATTCTTGTGAGAACAAGCTCATTGTGTCCGTATTCATTTTGGTACAATTGGTGGGCATGAGTGCCCAATTTCAGTTTGGATATTTGCCTCAATTAAAGTCACGGTCAGTGGTCTTGCCTTTCGTTGCTCAGTGTGTCATTATCGTTTGGTTTGATCTCGTTTTTGCTTTGATTGCACATTGTTTCTTCTTTCTAATACCTTTTTTTGAACAATACGAGGGATTTCAGATTTGCCCCATAGGTTTCTCCGTCGCTACAGAACCTCTCAGCACCTTCAAAACCAAGAAATGTTTCATCCGCATGCCACTCGCTCAAAGACATGCAGAGTTTACAAGTTGGTGGACCAAATTCCAGCATCCGGCCAACCGAGGCTTTTTTTTTTTTTTTTTTTTACATGCTGTCAAGTGTGGTGACGGGAAGGTCCATGTTGTCACACAATGCACAGCTTCATCCTCCCGTCTTTAAATGAGCCCACAGATCAAAGCAGACTCTTTTCATTCCGTGAAGTTGAAGTCTCACGTCTTGTGTTTTCAACTCTTTCGGCATCAGAATCATCGTCGGCCGGAGCCGTCCAGCGGGCGTCCGTTGCGTCTGAGATGGAGCGCAGGGCCGCGCGAAGCCGCGATAGTCCTCGGAACGGGAGGCGAGTCCTGCTCCTCCATGAAGCTCTCCGGGCTGCCCTCGGCATCCCCGTCGGGCAAGCTGCCGCAGCTCGAGCCGGGCGACATCGTCTCCAGCAGGTCGTCTCTGGCCAAGCTCACCACCGTGTCCTGACGCGGCCCGCCCTGGGGCACCCCCTCGTGGGCCCCAACCAGGATCCCGGTATCCTCTTCAGTTGTGGTGCCAACGTTGCGGCCCCCGTCCTGGTCCTCCAGGAGGTTGGAGAGGAAGCTGATGTACTTCATGGCCAGACGCAGGATCTCGTTCTTGCTCAGCTTTTTGTCCGGAGGGTGAGTGGGGATGAGTTTACGGAGCTCTGCAAAGGCGCCGTTCACGTTCTGCTGCCGCCAACGCTCGCGGCTGTTGGTGAAGATACGCCGGACAATCTTTGGCTGGCCGGCTAGGAGGGGAAACGCGAGACGTGAGTAAACTACACAGCAGTTTTAAATTAAAAGAGGTGTTAAAACAGCACGGTAAAGTATATACAGTAATCCCCCTTCTGAATTCCCTTTGATTTCGGAATGCCTCAACTTACGAGCCGTCGCTTGATCGATTCTTTTTTGTGTGTGTGTGTGTGTGTGTGTGTGTGTGTGTGTGTGTGTGTGTGTCTTTGGGTTGCTAGCCAACGTCTTAGTTACGAGCGAGCTTCAGTCAGACTGCCGTTCGAGTGAAGTGGAAAGAAAAATGGAAAGTCAAACTCATTGAACAGGATAAAACCTCAAGCATTACAAATCGCCATTGTCAGGAGGAAACCCCGTATGTCCAAATATGCTGAGTTTCAAATATTTTCGAAAATCAATCTTATTGGTCCTTCCCCTTGCCGTCTATTATTTCACATCTACTTCACCAATTTAAAATGTTGAACAATGCTTGAGAGTGAATCTATCAATGCTGTTGGAAACTTCTTCTGTCTGAAAGTTTCTCAAGTGTCATCGGTAGAAAATAGTTAGCTAAGATCCATGTGATTAGGCTTATTTTGTAAAATTAGATTGCTCATGGTATGGTGCAGGAGGAACTGGTCAGCCACAAAGGTAAATCCGTGCCGATTCATATCCAATCCTTACATTGCTTTTACAGCTCATTGTTTGATTTATCGCATTACTTCTGGCTCTAAGACCTTTGAAATGAGTTTGGGAAGATGATGAAAGCGCAGTTGTTGGCTTTTGTGAAGGTATTTAAGTTTTTTTATTTTTTCTGATTGTTGCTGTTTGAGCATTTATTCAATATTCTTGGTGTCCATCTTAAGGAACATTTGACCATTAGTTACTCTTTGCAAAGGATAAAGACTATAAGTCTCTGAGTATTGTGACATTGTCTGTCTGTCTACATGTGTTGCCCCACTATTTGTGTTCAAATATCCGTTGTTAAATGAGTCACTGAAGCTATTTGTGGATTTGCAGTCTTTTGTCATGTTTTGTTAGCATTATGTGTTAAATACACTATGTGTAGTGTGACACTAAATTTCAACAGAGAATTTTTTTTTTTGGAAGAATCGTCCACTCTCTGTGTTTTGTTACTCACAAGCCAAAGCAAAAATATCGGCCAAACGACGGCTCCTATATGTGTGGCGAGCTACCACTGGAAATGAACTCACCCGCCGACTGTCGGAGACAGGCATCGATTTAATTTGGCTCTACAATTCAAGTATTTACACGGTATTGATCTATACTGCGGATATAAAAGGCCCGAGTGCATGCAGTCACATCCTCACACCCCCATCCATGGTGTCTTCCAGGCTTTTGTCGTCCTTGGAACACACCCAGTCTATCTTAATCCCTCAGCCCACTCTGCAGTAAATGCTTGGCATGGAGGTGGAAGCAGCAAAAGCAGCCCCCTACACCCCCCGCCTCACCCCCAACCCCCAATTCTCCCATCCTCCAACCTTGCATGTGTCACCATGAGTGGTGGAGAAAATGGTTCACACCAGAAAATCGACCTGAAAGGATCTCACTTTAATTTAACACTATTAATTATAGCTTTGGCAGTGATTTTTTGGGGGTGGTGGGGGGGCGGTTGGGGCAAGACCTGGTAGGTCCATATCAGGGGATGGATGACAGATGGCGATGAAGAGGGAGTGAGGAAAGGTGGTGTTATAACCGTCAGGTGGGAGGACACAGCAAAAGTGCGTCTTACCATACTTATAAAGATCTAAAATGCGCCTACCCTCGTCGAGTTCAACCTCATAAGGCGCCGGGCGGCGTTTTACCCTGTTGCTGGGGTACATGCTGTACTGCTCTGAATCCCCTCCAAGACTACACGGTCATAGAAAACAAAACAAGACAAGAGCGGCACGTTACAATCTGCGTCATTTCACATCGTGGAAGCGTACAGTATTACATATGCTTTATCATCACTCAATTTTAAAATGATATTTAACACATTCATCCTAATCAAGATAAGAGCAGGGAAATGCATGTGAACGCTGATCATCTGGCTTTTAGCATCATTACATCACCATTATATGTTAAAATGTAACATGCAGGAAAACATTTATTAATAGCTTGATCATCATTATGCATCAATCTGTTAATCATCATCAAAATAAGGAAAATCCCCATTAACTCTCAAAAACCCTTAAAATGTTACAATATAATATTAATAATAATAATTTGTATCATTTTCAGATTAACAAATATAAGACCACATGCGGGAAATGCATGTTAACATTACAAATGTTAGTTTCATCATATTTTTTACTTCCAAATGTTTTTTTTTTCACATAATCATCAAAATAAAAGATGTGGACACTGCCTGTTAGTCTTCCCATTATTGTGTTATCAATTAACCTTAAGATGTTGGCTTTATCATCATTAAAATGTTTTTTTAAGAATCTCTAATCATCATTACATAACCATTATGTTAAAAAGTTATTGTTTTTGCAAGTAATGATTAAAATAAGGCCACGTGGAGGCAAACACACTGATTTGGGCACATGACATCATCAATATTCATTAGAATGCCACTTATCACACCTAATCTTCCTCAAATTAAGACCAGGCGTAAAATGTATAATACCACGGCTAATATTTTTATAAAATGACAAATTCTTTTTCTGCGCATCGGTGAGTGATCGCATCACATACGTGGAAAAATTGTCTGGTGGGGAAAAAATAAGCAGGAAAAACACCTATTTCTGTTAACACTAATGCCAGCTTAATCTTAGTCATTACACATCAAAATCTTTCTTTTGGCACTTCATTCTCAAAATGAGAGCATATGCAGGGAAATGCATCCTAAACTTCCAATATGCTCACTTTGACCTTTGAAACGTATTATACACTGAAAAGAATGGTATGTTGAAATTGCTCATATCTACATATATATAGCCACGTCATTATTGCTTCCTTTTTGCATCATATCACACGCTGATCATCTACCTCATCGTTGCATCATCAATCTGCAACCCCCATATAAATTCCCTCCCCTGGATGCAAAAACTGATGCAAATTGACATTGTTGTTAGTAACACATGATGATATGTTTTCACTGAATACATGCACCAAATGCTCCACAGAAATGTGTGGTGTGTACCTGTTGATGGCGGCGAGAGGCTGCGCCAGGTTGTAGAGCATGGCCCGGGCCGGGACAGGGAACGCGTTGGGACTCAGCTGGACCATTCGAGCGTCGTCTCGTTGGGTGTGCGGCAGTGCAGGAGGAAGAGGAGGAGGAAGAGCGGGAGGAAGAGGAGGTCTGCGGAGTTCCGTGATGGGCACCAAATGGCTCTCCGCCCTCCTCTCCAGCGCCTTTATAGCGTCCCTCCTGGAGAGCTCGATCACCGGCACTTCCCTTTTCAGGTCAAGGGCGTCGCGAGAGGCGGTTTCCTTGGCAACGCCGTTGATGACGATGACGGTCCCGTTCGTCGAGTTCTGCACGGGCACGTCATCTATCTCCTCGACCCCCGCGGAGAACCCTCCCCCCTCTTTCTCTTCCTCCTCCTTCTCCTCTGCCTCCTCCTCATTCTTCCTCCTCCTCCTCCTCCTCATCTTCCCCTCCTCCTCTTCGTCGCATCTGATGATGATGGAGTCCTCGGGCTTTCCACGACCGGACTCTGCGTCTGGATTCCCACGACAAAGGTCCGGCTGCCTTTTTTCCATCATTTTTGTTTTGGGGTCTCTTTTCTCACTCTGTCCGGATTAACATTTATGCCATAACTCACGTGCCATTATAAAATCACTGGTGGGGTGTATACGTGCAACCCTATGTGGAAGACAAAAAAACCCACACACTTTTGATTTTATACACTGAATTTTACACTTTTTTGGGTGTTTAAAAACAAGCCTTATTTTACACATAGTTTTTTCGGGATTATTTTTTTTTTTGTCTGCAGTCACCTGAATTGTCTGAAGAATACGTTTTTTTCAAGTGTACTTTTATGAAGAAAAGTCACGTGTGACAAAATGACAACAAAATTTTTTATGTATAAAAAGGTTCCAATTTTTGCTGACAAAATGTGTATATACACGGGAGCCTTCATGTTTAGTTTCAACCCGTCAATACGATTTTCGTTAATTTGGTAACAAAAACGAAAATAAGATCTTATTTAAAAAAAAAAGAATAATTCGAATTATCTCAATAGACACATTATGCCACATGAGCTTTATTTTTTTATTCGTCTCAAAAGGCACATTTTTCGTGACAAAACAATAATGAATGCTGCTTTCACTTTTCTTTATTTTTAAAATTCCAATTTTAGTATTTAGTCCACGGTTCCTTTTACTTATTTCATCAATTTATAGCAAGCTCTTTTGACTTGTGCAGGTCGACAAAGCCTTTTGGAGCATTTTTTTTCTTCCAGTTATTCATTACTATGATGGCTATAGCATAGAACATTATGTGTTATACTGGCACAGAAAAAGATGCATCATCCATAAAGTCCAACATTTATTCATATATATGTGTATATATACATATATATATAAATAACGGCACATCATCAAAAATATTTTTTAACCAAGGCCGTAGTGCTGTTTTTTTTTAAGCGATCCAGACATAAAATCAACACTAACCTTGATCGATAAATAAACTAACATTAAAATAATATGTAACAGTGAATTTGACGGCTTAAACGTTCCAAATGCCTCCACAATGTCCCTCATAGGCCTTGCATCCGTTCTATTAGCCCTCCGAGCACAGTCCGAAGCAGCGGACATCGCGATAGCGTGTGAACGAATCATAATCCCACATTTGCACCGATTGCCGTTAAAATATGAGAGTATTAAAAAAAAAAAATAAGCGACCCAACGACGACTAACGCCCGTTTGGGAGCACTTACCGTCGGGAGTGCTGCTGTTGATGCTACCGCGTAAGTGGAGCCATTTTGTGAGTGGGTCATCCATGTCTGACGTTTTTTTTTTTTTTTCTGGGCTACCAGTGTGTGTTTCGTGGGTGTGTGTGTGTGTGTCTACTGTACTTGTGTGTATTCTGCGCCGTATCCAAGCGCGCTCGCTCGGCTGAACCCAGGCCGCAATGTGGTCGAAGGAGATAAGCGCACGGCGGCGGCCTCTTCAGTCGCGATAAGTCCCCCCCCCCCAAAGCCATTATTTATGAAATGATTCATTATTATTTGCTTGTCACGGTGGGGGCTATGTAGGCGTGTGGTGTGGAGGGGGGACATGTAACGACGTGAGGTAGTATCCTGTAACAACGGTGGCTATCGGGGTGTGCCGTTTATTTATTTAAAACAATTTTAATAGAAAAGAAACAAAAGCTCAGGTTAAGTTTTTGACCGTATTCTCTTTTTGTCTGATAGGCTCATTTCTCCTCGAATCAGATAAAAGACTGTCCTTTATCCCCCCCCCACCCTAAAAAGATCAATGTGTCTTTTAATCCATCATACAATGGATGGGGCTTCAATTATCCAGAGATGGGTCTTTAATGGCTAATTGACACAATTCCTTTAATAATATAAACAGTGAGACACCAAAGAGAAAGTAAAATACAATTGAAGTTGACGGGCATGTAATGCCGCATATATATTCGTATGCATGTGTACATAATAAATACAAATATATTTTTTTACATTTTGATATATTCGGAACCATCCCCACCCCAAAAAACGAAACATGTTATAATATATTAAATGGATGACTTGATGGAAAAATTTGAGAAATAAATCGCAATGTTCGTTTTTAAAGACTGTTGTCATTGGGGAATTAAAGAGGCATCACGATCCTAAAGGGGCCCAATAAAATTGTGCGTGCGCGCGCATGTGTGCGTATGGGCGTGCAGTTATTTGAAATAATCCTTTTAGGGGCCTCAACGGAATAATTAAAAAAATAATAATAAACAGGCAATTTCTGACCATTTTGTGATGTCAAATGTTTCTGATGAGACCCCCTCAAAAAAAAATCTAAATGAAATAAGTGTCACTGTGTTGAAGGCCGCGTGCAGAGCATGACTGGTGGCGGTTCCCCGGGGGAATGGGGGGAGTCATGGCCGGGGGAGATAAACTGCGAGGCTATCGGCTTGTGGTCACACGCGCACATCAGATAAATAAATAAAGGAGCAGCATTAACGGCGACACGCTATCAAGGAGCACATTCGCAGCAGCTCCCAAACAGCGGCAGGTAATAACGAATGCCATTAATAACGGATTCCTGCCTGCTAATTTGATTGTATTAAATGCAACGCAATGTGCATCGTTGGTACAACTGGCGCAAAGTGAACCGTAGACGTCTTCAGATCGCTATCATTAGTTTTATGCATTGTGTCTTCTCGTGATCCGACGCACGTTTGTTCAGCACAACGGTCAGTCACGACGTCTGCACGCTGCACGCACGAGGCAACGTACAGTCACGACCGCAGTCGTCCTGCATCCAGTCACGACCGTCATCCTGCATCCTGCCCCGCATGGGGTTCACAAACTTGAGCTGAGCGCTTTTACGTAATTTAAGAAGCCACACATCTGCATGCATCGATTGTTAGTCGGTTGTTCACCCAACCTTTGAAACTGGAAAGGACAACGATTTTAGTTTCCAAATGTGCTTTCGTATCGTTTATTTTCTAACTTCCGGTTCGGCATAAATTTTATTTTGAAAGCTCAGTTAAAGGATCACGAGGTTTTTTTTATTGAGAATTGACAGCGTGAAGAGCGATTCAGTTTCAGTTGTACAGTACAAGTAAAACAAAAGATTCACAGACGACAAACACAACGGTTTGAATTTACTTCGGCATAGCTAGCAGAGAGATGAACAAAGATGCATTAGTTGGAGTAATCAGCCAATAGTTTCCTTGATACGAATTTGATTCAGTGCAGGCAATTCTGCAGTGAAAGTGTCATTTCACAAAATGTAATCTTAAAGTTGGTATTTATCTAATCTAGCACATAAACAACGGCAAAGCAGCCAGACATTTTTCTGTGGGGTGGCCAGTTTTCACACACCCTACATGCGTCGATGCATGTTGATTGACATGCTTGTAACGCCCTCTGTAACGGAAACGTCGTTTTTCATACTACCCGCACCCAGGTTTTCATGAAATAAAGAAAATGTACCGAACCATGTCCAACGCAACCCAGAAACCTTTTCCTTCTCATAATTTATCAGATATTGTAATGCCATTTTCTGTCCTGCTACTTGCAGTCTACTTCAATCTCACGCATTGACTGATTCGCTAGCAAACAGCCAGAGTGATCAATTGTCACCAGCAGCCATTTTTGCATTGTGATCAATTGTTTATTCATTCAAATCGTATTTAAAAAGCCCAATGACACAAATATTGCTTCATTCTTCTCAATTCTAAAGGTTGCTTTCTTTGCTGAGATTTGTTCCTGCCCGTGTGCTCGGCAAGATTGGCAATTGGGTGCAATTTATTTCATGAACCCATGACTGAGGATGATATGATCGACAATGACTTCTCTGCAGTGATGGTTGGGTGCTATGGTGCACAAGTAAAAATTTGGAGTTGTTTTGAAAGTAAGAAACAAATTATATTTCCAAAAGACTGTTTTAGAGTTGCCATACAAATTGGTTATACATTTTGTCTTTCCAAAATTAATATATAAATGTATTGTGGCGTGTGGAGTTTGCCTGTTCTACCCGTGCCCGCGTGGGTTTTCTCCAGGTACTCCGGTTTCCTCCCACATTCCAAAAACATGCATGGCAGGCTGATTGAACACTCGAAATTATCCCTATGTGTGAGTGTGTGAGCGGATGGTTGTTCATCTGTGTGTGCCCTGCGATTGGCTGGCAACCGGTTCAGGGTGTCCCCTGCCTACGGCCCAAAGACAGCTGGGATAGGCTCCAGCACCCCCGTGACCCTTGCGAGGATAAAGTGGATCAGAAAATGGATGGATGGTGACAGTCAGATCTTATTGGAAAAATAATTGAGAAAACCTTTAGTAAGATATCCTTATTGTAGCAAAAATATAATATTTTGGCATATTTCTGCACATTCTGTATGTCAGATTGTGGATATAATGGTTATATTTGCAAATTGGTCACAATATATTGCCAATGAGTATATCATGCTGTTCATTTTGGACAAAAGTATTCCTGATCATGAAACATTACAAAAATATATCACCTACATATTTATATTGTGTTGTGCAACATTCCTGCAAGGTAATGATCACTGGATCTTCTGATCAAGTGTGGAAAACAAATAACACCTTGCTGCAGTGAACCTCTGGTATTTGACCAAGCCCGACATCACCCCCCAAAGGTTTATACTTGCCACGAGATGGTAGCAAAGCACTACTTTTGCCGAACTGAAGCTCCTCAACTCAATTCGGCATATTTCCTTGGCACCAAGACACCACTAGATGGCAGCAAAATAATACTTTTACTTTTGTTTTGGCCTGAGGACAAAAAGCTAACTGAATTAGCATTCGGAGTTTCTAGAAAATAACAGAGGCTCACTGCATACAGTATAACAGTCCATGCACAGTGTTTACATGTCGGTCAGTTGCCATGCTGTCTGTCGCCCATTCAGCGCGGGCTACGTCGGGCCGGCATGATCCTTAGAGAGGCGATGCTTTCCCGCGTCATGAGCCGGGTCACCTGGTCCAGACTGAGTCCTGCCACCATTTCCCCATTCACCTGAACAATCTCATCACCCACTCCCAGGAGACCCACGTAGGGCACGTCACCAGTTCCGTCGCCCACTTTCTCTACATAAACCCCTGGAGGAACAAATTGAGAGGTATGCATGATCATCAGTAAAGTCAGCACAATGTTTCTTTGGTTCTATGATGGCATTGAGGTGCAACCAGGGATGGGCAACTTAAATGCTAAAGTGGGCCACAGTTTTTCATCAGTGCTACTACTATATAATCAGTATATATATTTGTTTGTTTATAAGCATTGTAAATAATGTACCTGTGTCAGGTCTGCCTTTGCCCCTTGAGATAACGAAACCAAAGGGCCCATTTGGGGGTCTGATGAGCTCCAGGAGAAGAGAACCATCAGGAAAAGCCTGAGAAACCCTCCCCGCCGGCCGCACCACCCTGGAGGGGATTATGTCTTCAACACTCAGGGTCCGGTGGAGGTCCAGTTGGGGGCTGTCAGGACTGCATTCGAAAAGGTATTTCTGTTGTTTCACTCCTTGTTACTCTCAACGCAAACCGCTATCCAATCATCCATTTTCTTTTATGCCTTGCCGATTAGGGTCACGAGTAACTGTGCTTGTCCCGGGCTGACTTCAGGTAGACCCTGGACTGGTCACAGACCAATTACAGAGCAACAATCATTAGCCTTGTAGGGATAGACGCAACCATAATGAGGGCAAGCACGAAAGAAAATGGATGGGATGGAAGTTCTCGTTTTATCAAAACTCACTCTTATCTTTATAAAGGCAGCATTGTTGATACATCTCTTGCACTGGATATCATCAGATAGTGCAGGTGAATCTAAAACTAGTCTTTGTGCTTTTCATGCCATGCCTCTCTCGTTGACTTACCTTGGCGCTAGGCCATAAGGTATCTGCACCTCACCCAGGATGGTTGTACGCTCTGTTCTCCTCTCTAAACTCTGCACAGAGGAAGCTTTACGTAGTTGGGCCAGTGGAAGCGCCTAGTGGCAAAAAAAAAAAAAAAAAAGCCACATGAGAAACACTTACGTAGTGCAGTTCAACACCACATTGTGCAAGTGTACTTCATGTTGTGGCCAGTTTGTGTGATGCAATTCATTTGGTACAGTAGCACCAGACCAAGCAGCTGTGTTGCTCACCGTGTGCAGGGTCTGCAACGACGGTGTCCTCTGTATGCGGATGGTGGGATGCGGTCTGCGTGTGGGGCTCGGGGAAGTGGTGTTGGACCTGCTGGTGGGAATGCTGAGCTGTTCCATGCTACTGGAACGGCCTCCCTTCACCAGTCTGCCGACGCCGTTCAGGCCGATGGAGGAAAAGAAGCGACGTAAGAAAAGCTTTGGTCGCCCATCAAGCTTCCTGTAAAAACACAGGTACACAAAAGTAAAAAATATATATATATTTGTGTAAAATTAAGCTTTAAATGTTGAACGGGTGTCATTTGTGGTGACACAAGATGGAAAATATTTTGAAATGAGGTAGTTACACTTCTCATCCCTTGACACTAATAATTGTCTCATCATAACACATAAGTAGCCTTTAAAAAAAAAAAATTCTCCTAGTTTTGAACAGAAGTCAAGAAGACTCTTTCCTGTGTTAAAATGTTGCTTTAAAATTGTCTGAATGCTTCTTCAGGTTTTAGAGTGTTGGTAATTAGAGCCTGCAATAAATGAATTCACAAACAAATTGGGTTTGATTTTGGAGGCTCAATTACAACTTTCCTGATGAATTCTGCAGTTGCATTTTATTTCCACAGGAGGGCAGCCTTGCTTTGACGAGATGAACATTCCTTTTCACAATGGCATTCTGTTGAGTGTATGCCATGTTTGTGGCCGTGATGGGAGGGCGTCCAATCAGTATTTATTAAGCCCTCCACACTGACTCTGAAATGTAATGAGCATGACGTTGTTTGTTTTTAGAAATGGAAGGCAGCTTGTATATTCGTTTCTCACATCTAAGCTATGACCCAAAAAAAAAAAAAGTGTTCCTGTTGTTACTCACCTGGAGCTATCCTCCCATACGGCCTCAGCTTTCAAATGTTCTGCTCTCAACAGCTCAGCTCTGAGATCCTCAGCCCGAGACAAGGCCAGGCTGCGCGTAGCGGGATGGAACTCTGACCCAGCACCCGTATCGGTAGTCACTGGTCAAAAAAATAGCAACGTGAGGAGGAGATGCGTTGCATCGAATAATATCATCTCAGACAGGGAAAGCGAAAAATCCTAATACTAGCTTTGCATTGGAAACATGGCAGATTCTATTTCTTCTTTTTTTTTCTGAAAGTGATGAAGAAATCTGTTAAAAAAAATAGCAAGGTTTGCTTGCCTTTGCTTCCGTGTAAATCACACAACTAATATTCAGTTGGAGGACCCGTTTCTGAGAATTGCTTTACATCTATGTTGCATGGAGTTGACCAACTTTTGACACCTGTAAAGTACGACTGATGATTGGACTGTATTGCACCAACACCAAAGTTGTTAGAATCCATTGTGTCTGTCCTCAGTGTTCCACTGCGTGGCCCCTCCCTCTGTTCTGTTTTTGGTTGCCTTTCCCATAATTCGGTGTGGGCTGGGCATCTCCCCAATCAATGCACCTGTCTCAAATGATTTCGTCTGCGGCATTGTAAAAGGATGATTTTTAGTACAGCAATACACCAGGCAATGATAAAATGACATTGGACATGCTTTGCCCGTTGAATCCTGTGAAATCAACAATTGTCATTCTTTACGATTGATCAAAATTGGAGTTTGGCAGGGATGTGTGCGGTGTCAGTGTGCCGCAATGTCAGAGCAAGCGGTCTATTGATTTCTATTGGTATCAAACACAGGATGTCCCAGGAAGCTTAAATCAATGGGGCAAACAGTAAAGTTTTCTTTCACAGCACTCTTAGCAGCCACAATTCTCAAGCAAAGGTCAAAGCAAGGACTTGACGGCAAAAAAAAAAAAAAGACACTTGACTTTTGAGGTAGTTGAAGTTAGATCAGTACACATTCCTCAATTTTGGTCTGTGGGAGCCTGGCCAGTTAGCCTCAGTTTCAGCTTCATATGCACAAAATAAGAAGATGTGACACAAACACACACTGATGTTGAATGAATGTCCTTCAAGCTACAGTGTAGATCAGGCGTCACCAAATTCGATCCTCCAGGGCCCCCTACTGCATGCGTGAGATGTTTCCCTCCTCCAACACATCTTATTCAAATGATCAGCTCATCGGTAAGCTCTTCAGAAACCTGATAACGAATGTGGTGTGTTGGAAGGTATAGGATAGTACACACAGGAAAAGTGTCGTGTGATGAAGGAGGACCAAATGGGACAGGAGATTTGAACAGTACATTTTCATTTATCTGGGTTACACGCCAGCGGACAAACTGACCTTTGTGATTGTGACAGATTTAAGACACTGAGGAGGCGCTGTAGGATTATGTTTACAAGGACACATCCTGAAATTACACCCAAAAACCAAATATCCCGAATTTTTTCTGCATAGTCTTTATAAGTGTCTCATCAGGTACAAAAAGTACATGTTGTTAACTGTGTGGTCCATGCAATTCTTTTTTTCATGTGCACTCACCCGCTCCTTCCAACGTGGCATCCCACACATCAGCAGCAGGCATGTCTGGGTTGAGACGAGCGGGGGAGTACCTCAGCGTGGAGGGCCTGATACATGCCGCTGGGTTGCTGATCGCAAGGGATCCTTGCGCCGAAGACGCAGGCGACTCCCGTCTTGCCTCTGGACAGTCCAAGAGGGCCAAATGCTGAGGCCCGACTTCACCTCCCTGATTTGATGTCATCTGGAACTGCACGGTTGACTGACCTGCGGCAGAGCGGTTCCTTGAGCTTGACTTGAGAGCGGATTTGATCGGCAGGGTGGGTGCTTCCCTCACTCCGCCGGAGGCACCCATCAAACGTGGCTCCAGAGTCACGGGGCTGTCTGGCGCGAAGGAAACAGCTCTACTCAAGTTGACTCTGTTCCTAGGATTGGAGTTACGCCTCTGAGCCCAGGATGGACCATAGGGACCATTGCCAGACTCCAATCGACTTTCTCCTTTCCTGCTCCTTCTTCTGAGCTTCCCAAAACCTGATGATTTCCAGCCTGTGCTTTTTTCTTTGTTCTCGCCCAGAACAAAGGCACCCGCAAATGTGACCGTCAGAGGTGCTTTAGGACGGGCGCTGACGTCCGGCTTGTTTGGAGGAACCCAATAAGGAACTGTTCTGCCCCTCGTGTCCTCAGGGTTACCACCCTGCTGTAACTCAATGACCTGCGGGTCTGTTAGTGAGGTGCCCGGCTGAGGTTCCTTCACAACAGAACCACACGCCTCGCATTTCTTCACCAGGACTATGATCTCTCTGATCACCGTCATGGTTTCAGCATTGACACCCATCTCCTGCTTCTGTGGGCCAGGCATCGAGACACTCCTGTGACTCCGACTCCTCTCTGAACCACTACTGCTGGAATCCGTATTGCTGTCCCTGTTTTTAGACTTGGGCGCTGTAGGTCGACCGCGTTGACGCACCCTGTCCAAGTATCGAGACTCTGCTTCTCTCTCTGATTCGTCTTCGAAGCGTACCCGAGTGGGTGAGCAGCCATACCGCCTCAATCGAACGACATGATCTCCGGGCGGGGTGTCTCCTTGATTGGGGACGAGGAAGGGACCAGATGCACTTTGAGCAGTGAGATCCTCTTTGGCTTGAATGGCTTTTTGCACCAATGCTGGATTGAGACCTTCAACTTGCTGCTTCTTCCTACAATAGATCAGCGACATATATGATCCCAAATGCAGTTCTATGCACGGTTTCTAGGATACGCAGCGAACTTACGTGGTGGATCTGTGATCAGAATGGGAGCGTCTGCTGGGGCGGTCACCCTTAACGTGGTTGGCGCGAGCCTTGAGGCGGGCTCGCTCGAGGAGACGCTTGGCTTGCTCGTGTCTTGGACTCAGAGGGAGGTCATCGCTGATAACCAGGAGTGATCTAAACATCGACATTGATGACAGGAAATGTCGGTCAGGGCTATAGTAGTAGTAGACTATACATCTACTTCAAAAATGTATCTCACTCCTGATGATACTATTCTGTGCAGCCACTTGATCATAAAATTGAGTAAGCTCAACACACCATTTTTTTCGGTGTACGTCATACTCCCCAGAGACGCTATACATGTATTAATCCGCGACAGACTTGTTTTGCCAGTCAAATTTTGCTGTAACAAGTAGCGCTGTGAAAAACAATACGACGATAGAAATGCTGAGAGTTGTGGGCCAGCCAGTGGGCCCTGTGAGGCAAATTTGAAATCTGACTGGATACAGAAACAGTCCCTTTGCTTTTACTATTTGAGATACATGGGTCAGCATTACCGATTCTGAAGGCCCCGGGCAGCTCAGACTGACATGGCAGCACAAAGACGCAGAAATACGATTGGACAAACAATCTAATAAGGGAAAGCAGCGCAGCGAAGTGCCAAGAATGCAAAAAAAATAAATAAAATGCATCGAATAGATTGTTGGGAAGATTTGAACCCTACAACCTCAGAACGGAACAACTACCGTCATAATCATACGCACATTTCCAGGTAAAATCTCATCAGAACCCCATTCGATGAATTGAAAGCTGTTCAGCGACAAATGCGAGCGCATCACATTCCGCAGATTGACTTTATGAAAAGTGAATCAAGCTTCCCGAATCTGTCTTATGCAATCATAGATAGGCCGGGGGCGTGGCACTGGCGTAAAGCGGCAAAGCGACACGTCATCTAGCCGTCCCTCCTCCTTATGGCACACGGCTAAGCTCCTCTGCATTGTGCTTCATCATCTGTACTCGTCGTTAAGCCCTGGGCCAGCGATAAAGATAGCATGATACACTCACCATGTGGATTATCCTTGCCATGGCCACAGTGGGATTCGTTCGCCAGTGCGTATAACGCGAAGAACATACTGTTGTTCACTAGATTAAAGTTTGCCATGTCAATGTTTTCATCCCAACATTGACAAACATGGGATGACAAGCAGCCTGTTTTGGTTGACCATCTGTTCCAGTCTACGGATTCTAATCATGATTACTATAATACCCTCTCCAATAATGATAATGGCTGCAAGAATGTCACCTTTGTTTTGAAAGTGAAGTGGGAGATTGATCATTCAAGTCGTCGGTCAAGCCTCGCATCGAAATGTGGCGTTTTTAAGGTTAAGAATCAGTTTAACTGGAATCAAACTATTTGACGATTGATCCTTTTAGCCCGAGAACTGACAAACTGCTATTGGTATTTAGAAAACTCACAAAAGAACAATCTCAGGTGTAACGTGGCCATAATGAGAATCTGAACACAACCCATGAGTCGTGCCACATTGTACGTGCAAAATAATCACATCAACGCTCACCTCAAATAGGGCTCCAGTTCTTGAAGAATGATTGAGTCTTCTAAACCACCACATGCTCCCTCATCTGCCACAAAAATACAGAAAGAGGAGTGAGAGGTGTTGCTCGCAAATGTAGTTGTCACGGTAAATCCCATCACCTTATTTCAGTCGAGCTGTTCAGTTGGGCTCGTTTTGATGGTGTTGATTTGAATTTGCATTTTTGAACATTTTAAGCCGGTGATTCCCAAAATGTGGCACACAGCCTCCCTCTAGTGGCACGCAAAAGACTGCCTGAATTACAAACCCGATTCTAATGAAGTTGGGACGTTGCGTTAAAACATTGATAAAAACAGAATACAGTGATTTGCAAATCGTGTTCAACCTATATTTAATTGAATACACTACGAAGAGAAGATTGTTTGTGTTCTTAAACATCCAATTCCAAGGCCGAGCTCATCCGAGATGGATTGATGCAAAGTAGAAAAGTGTTCTGTGGTCTGACGAGTCCACATTTAAAATTGTTTTTGGAAATTGTGGAGGTCGTGTCCTGGAGAGCAAAGTATTCTCAGGTGGTACTTGGTGTGAAAATTTTGAGAACCGCTGTTTTATGACATGGGATTATGTCATCTGCTGCCTCATTCTAGTCACAGCACACACTTCTGATTGCAAAAAAAAAAAAAAACACTCCTGCGACCCTTGTGAGGATAAGTGGATTACAAAATGGATGGATGGCCGGTCGACTCCGTGAATATTTAGCGCAAATCAGCGTGACTTTTGCTGTTGCCTCTCAGAGAAGTTCAGAAATGTGCAGCTTCACCTTGGCAAGTACACTCTTTTGTTTTTTTTGTTTTTTGTTTTTTATGTCTACTTTCATGAAAAGGATTATTTGTAAAGATGTGACAACGAATGGTGTCAGGTGTCTCAAGGTGTTTCTTGACCTTCGGCTTAGCCACTGAGACTGTTTTGATGAACCCCCGGGGGTCGAGCCAAATCGGGTTAAAAGAACCACTGGGTTGGACAAATGTAGAACTGTATGACTTGAGTTCAACTTTTTATTTTTTGACGTTTGCACTTCTTCATGCTACTTTATTTCAGCAACATTTTATCGTGTTTCTATTTACAAGTGGTGGTGTGTTACAATTTCAGTGGATATCCTTACTTGAATAAAAGCTTTTATTAGCGCTCTGAGCTAAATTTAACAATGAATCACATGGCTTGTCTTGTCGTCCTAAAATTGACATACCATGAAAATACGACCTATCCTATAAACAGATAGAAGGCGATATCGAAATAGGAAAAACTGAATCACCTCCCCCCACAGCTCCTGCTTGCTAATAATAGCAGCATCCACATCTCTCACATCTGCACGTCTGTTCAGTAGGAAACATGCCAGGTTACACATTGCGCTTTTATGCAACACGACATAGCAGTGAGAACTACACTGTAAAAAAACCACAAAAAAATTACCAAAAAAACCCACAACTTGTATTTTTGGGGGCGACTAACTTTAAACTGTAAATTATTTGCATTTGTGCCAACAATGTTAGCACATCAAAGGAAGCAAGTTGATTGCTCCACTACAGTTTTCTTATTTCTATGTTGTGAATTATAGAAAGGCACATTTCCATAACAGCAAAATTTAAAATACCATATAAAGATGAATTGCCCAACTTCAAATTTTGTCCATTTTTTTGCCTTGAAATTTGGACTTCACCCAACTAATTATTTTTAATGTACCTCTGTAACAATTCACACAATTGTTCCATTTATTACTGGAATAATTGTGATTTTGACAAATTGTGGAAAATCTTTTCATCTTTCTGTTATACTTTTGTTATGCAGTACTGAACTTTATATATTAAGTATAGTTTGTCAAATATGTATCAATTCACATCTGGCAAAACAGTTGCGCATGCATTCGCCATGTATGAAAGTTGGTATTAAAATAACACAAGAGTATAACAAATATTCAGACTTCATTTTTTTGTTCATGCTCATTTCAACTGGTTCAAAGGCCTCCGATGCAAATTAATTCACCAGTAAAAGCAACAATGTCTGTCAGTCAAAAACCACATCAACCTTTGCGTCCTGCTTTTGCCACAAATCATGCAAGCTACTTCCAAGCGTTTGGGTCAGCGGTTTCTCTACAGACGTACCTTCGTAATCCACGCTGTCTGTTGCATGTCCATCTCTGTATTGTTCTCTGCACTTTTGTTGTCTTTCTTTCAATTTCTCATGAGCTTTTTGCTTCTCTTTCTCATCAGCGGAGAGGCCCCCGCCTGGTAAAGACACACACACCCCATCATGCTTGTCCACTTGCGATGCCTCGGCGTCATCCACTGAATTTCCCACAATGTCTCCCTGGCCTGCTGTCTTGTCCTCTCCTTGTGTGTAGTCCTTGTAGGGTAAAGCCGAGGCAAGGTTTTGGGGGTCCATGCCATTTAGAAGTAAGGTCTCCGGCCGGGCCACCCTCCAGAATCCCTTTGGGGGTGCCCAGTGTCTGATTGTGGATGGGGGTGGTGTTTGTGGGCTGGGGGGTGAGATGGAGCAGGAGAGCACAGGTAGTGGAGGTGGTGTGATGGGGTTGCTCGTCCTACGATTGGAGTTATCGGGTAGAAATTCAGAGGGGGGTGTTTTGGGTTTCTCCTGTTCGTCTTCCTGGAGCTGCACAGGTGGATCCGTCGGCGGGCTGTGGATCTCCAACCTGACTTGCACTTCTACCTCCTCCTTCTTCTCATCTTCGTCACTGCTGCTCAGTGCGCCCGACTGGCAGGAAGTAGCAAGGGCTAGACTTTTCCCAGTGGGCTGCAGCCTGAAAGGGACATCCGGCGGCTCCCCGTCATCCGATTTCTCGCCATTCCTCGGAGAGGATGGCAAGAAAGCTGAGCCCGGGGGTAAATTTGAGACAGGTTCCGTTTGAATTTCCCTCGCCGCCTTCTCGTCCTCCATTGGTTGCTCATACACAGTGAAGTCCACTTAGGCGCTGTACGGATAAAACCAAAAGAATATAACCAAACGACAGCTCTCTTTCTGACATGCAGTGAAGAGATATGAAACGTGGATTTGGTCACGTTGCTTCATCCGCTGATTACTTTGCAGGATAATCCTTTCGAATGAGAATAAGCAAGTGCCGCATGCAACTGAGTCTCTTCACCAACAAGCAATCGAACAAAATGACAAAAGATGCTTTGGTATGGGGTAATCGTGCACAGTATTTAATTAGAACCTTGCATCATATGGGAACAAAGTAGCAAACAAAACAGGAACATGATGTTTCATCAATGAGGGAATTACCGTCATTTTCAGTTAGATTTGTACTAAAATGTCAGGTCCAAGAGTGAATTGCCAAAACATCCCTCCAATGTTTCTTCCACTTCCATGATGTGCATCCAGTTCGGTCCCTCTGTCGTGAATAGCGCGGTAATCCCACCCAGAAATTATAACATCGGGATTACAGGAGACAAAAAAAAAAAACCCAAAAAAAAACCTGCTTAAATTTCGCTCTTGCCTCGCGTAGCAGCTTTCCCGAGTGGAGCTCCTCTTTACTGTTGCGTAACGCGCGATCCGCACATTGATATGTCAATGAGGAGGATTAAAAAACAAAAAGAGGGCAGAGGGTGCATCAACTCTTTAATCTAAATGGTGTTAAATCATCGAAAAATAAGATGACACAAGAGTGCGTGCGTCTTATTTGTCATAACATCCATCCAGGCCCCCGCCCCCTCTCTGTTTTCATATCGAATGTTGTCATACGCGCGCGCGCCCATTCGTGCATGCGCGCGCCTCCAGATGTGATTTGTTTAGGGGTCTTTTTCGAGCGCAGGCGCAACCCCTCGCCACTAGGGGGAGCCCCTGGCACGTTCACGCGCACTCGCGCGCGCACGCGCTCCCAGCTAGCTGTAACCGGCTAGCCCCGTCTGGTCTCGCCCCGTAGCGTTGACACCCTTCCCCGACAAAACCCCCCCATCGGCAGCGGCTGTGCTGTACCGTCGACATGGCAAGGAAATATCGCATTTTCTTAACTAAAGATGAAAATCTTCCAAGTCGTTTGGAATGAGTGAGTAGCGGCCCCGTTACAGAGAACGTTTGTGTGGGTTTGTTTTCAGTGGCATTTGCGATGCAGAGCTCGGAACGGCAGCCTTGGTTTGTTCGTTAGCATATTAGCATTGCTTGCCTTCAGCCGAGCGACGGGAGTATTTTGTATTCGCACCTTCTGCAAAACGCCAATAAAGCACTCACCCATCGCTTCTCCGAAGCGGTTAACATAATCGCAAAAGACAAGATTTCACGCCATTTCGGTTGCTTTGGTTTCCCAATGTTACATAATCTCCCTAGCCCTCACTTCGCTGCTTCGTCCACAGTTTTCTTGATATAATACATGGCGCATCAGATCAATATCCGTCGAAATGTTAAGAAAATGGTAGCGTCCTAATCCCCCCCCCCCGATGATATATTGAAGCGTGAAAGTAACTTAAGTTGTTTATTGCCACGGCGTTTGCTCGCTAGCTCGCTTAGCCACCCGTAGATAGCCGCACGGTGCTAACAAGTCAGCTTTTGCCCCCCGTAAGTCAGCTGAGTGAGGGCTTTCTATCAGTTACCCACACGGTACGTATGACACGATAGCTACGACAGCAGACTACTGGAGCCTACAATCAAAGAATGCTTGCGGCTTAATGCTACTTTAATTCTATTGGCAAACGTCAGCTTCACAACAAGTTCGGAATAGCGTAGAGAGGCTATTAGCTAATTCAAGCACCCTTTGTCCATAGGCTCAGTGGCGAGCAGCACGAATAAGTAGGCCACATAAGTAGTTGTTTTGGGCTTGTTTGCTCTTGAACCCACAACGATAGTTGCTCACAATTCTTCGGATTTGCATTTGGGACACTTGAATACCTCTGGCGTTTTGTTTGGATGTTGAATGCTTAAATAGCGCTAAAATAGGGCAAGGACTCGCTAATTGTTGTGAGTATGAATTATTGGGTTGTTATGTGACATGAAAATGCATACCAGTGTTTACTGACAGTAAAATGTCTTGCTTCCCCCCCCCCCTCTCTTTCCAGTATTCATCGTGTGATGTGACCCAGAATCCACAATGTGTGAGGACATTTAGTTCGGAAGAAAACAATTCTTGATTCCAGTGGAATCTTTCATATATATTATTATTATTATTATTATTATATTTTTTTTCTGTCATAGTTTATACATATTTGCACACACTCGTCCCCACCCACTTATAATCATCATGCCAGTTCAAGCACCACAGTGGACAGAGTTCCTGCTCTGTCCGATCTGCACACAAACATTTGAGGAGACCGTTCGACGGCCCATCAGTTTGGGCTGTGGACACACCGTCTGCAAGATGTGCCTGAACAAGCTGCACCGCAAGGCCTGTCCCTTTGACCAAACGGCCATCAGCACGGACATCGAGCAGTTGCCTGTCAACACAGCCCTGCTGCAACTGGTGGGAGGCCAGGTGGGACACCTTTACTCTTTAATTACAATGTTTCACAACTTTTATTGAGCCCAAGACACATGTTTTACATTAGAAAAGTTCCAGGGCACACTATCAAGTAAAAATTGTCCCCAAAACTACAGCGCTACCTTGACTTAGGAGTAGGGATGACATCACAACACATTTATTTTAGTGTACGTCTAACCTATTAGAGCAAAACATTTGTGGATAATCTGAGTCTGATACAGATTAATTTATTGCCTGTCTTGGTCTACATGGGAAGAGGACTTTGAATGCATAATCTCATTTTAAATCACAATATTGAGGGAGAGAAAAAATGGCAATGAGGTTGTTTTTCCAAAATCATTGGTGAGCGTGCTCAATTTCCTTGTATATCAAATCAATTTTTGAGTCAGATTCCTCTGCAATTCATGAAGATGCATTAGCACCAATAATTCCTACTTGTCAAATCATTTAAATGCATAACATTTGCCGAAACCTTTTTTTTTTTTTTTTTGACTGATGATGCCGCTCAGCTTGTGAGATGTTTGGGCATATTGTTATCTCCAATGGTATGTGTGGCTTTGCACACTTAATTCCAATAAATTCTGTTGCATCGATGGCAAACTAACCTAAATTGGTCAGTTTCAAGCTCAGGGCGTTTGATATCAGAGGTTCACTCTACTAAAAATAGGAGAAAATCAAGATGATGTCCTATTGGGGCAGCCAGTCTAATTTGTACGCCGCCATTCACCCAAAGTCAGCAGGAATAAGCTTCAGCTCACCTGTGACCATAATGAGGACAAGTGCTAAAAAACATAGATGGGCAGATATTTTGATATGGTAATGAATTCTATTTCTAGTCCTCTCTAATTTGGGCCTTGAATTGAAAATGGAACTGCCTCAAAGGAACAGCTAAAAATAGAAATGGTTCTTAGATATTTCCATGGTGTTTGTTCATGCTGTAGTGGGTGATGACAGTTAAAAGATTCAGTACATGTGGCCAAGTCATGAGCTTCCAACAATTTGAGAGGCTTATTCCTTTAACTCTGATGATGAATCATGAAGATGGCGTCTTTCTGTGCAAGAATTGATTATTTTGCATACATTTGCCTCAATTTACACAAAATAATCATCTGACTGCATCATGTGATCTGATCGGCTGACTGACCTTTTGGAGAGGGCCCAGGAATAATCTACTTCATATATCCACTGAGAGCAAAAAAAAAAAAAAAAAGGATCTTCCTCCTCTAATTTCCTGTTCACAATCTCAGCACTTCCAGCATGTTCTACTCTTAGTATGCCATTTGCAAACTGTTAGTTGGTGTATTATTTAGTTTGGCATTGACCCAATTTCACTGAGAGCTTTGTGCTTATTGAGCCTTTTTCAATTCCCCCTCATTGTGCGCAGGTTCCTAAGGCTCAGCCAGTTGCCTTGATTAGCAGTCCTGAGGACACTCAGCACTATGAGGAGGCGAGGCAGTGCGTGGAGGAGCTGGCCCTCTACCTGAAGCCCCTCAGCAACACGCGAGGTGCTCCAACATGCACGCTCGTCATATGCGCTTGATCATCTTTTATGACCAGTTCTCATTCCTGCCCCCCTTTCACAATAATCTCGGCAGATCCATTGCAGGCCGTCAGCGTGCTATCGGAGTCGGAATACAATAGCATTAGTGTGTAATCACTGGTGTCGGCACCACATTGTGCGTTTTCCGGTGCGGTTGAGTCGCATGCCCCGACCGCTTACTCACGGCAATTAGTGCACGTGATGAATGAATTTTACATCCTGATTGACCAGGCTGCTTTTTGCTTGGGCACAAGCTTACATCATCGGTGTGATTTGTGAGGAGATAATTTTGGACAAGTCAACCAGATGGTGCGTTATTTCACTAAAGCGCTGCTACTAACATTTTAATGATGATCTAACAGCAAAGAGCTGTGTGTTGATTGTCGTTGGCACTTCAGCTCTTTTAAGCAGTAAAACCCTTAGTTTCCAAAAATAAAACGAGATTTATTTTTCGATTTGGCAACCATGATAGTCATCTGTAATGGCATGCCAATGGCATGTTGTGATACAACTCCTCACATGCCGTTCCAGTCCTCCTCACTAATCAGGTTGACTGTTCGTTGTGTTCGACAAGGGAAATTTGAAAACGTTCAGTTGATCCTGTAAAACTTGAGTCAGCGTGTCATGCCTTTGAGCTGTTGCTGCCAACATCAACACATGAGAGAGAACAAACATGTTGAGTCTCATAAAAATGTCTGGACGAAGCAACAAAACATTGCGTGACTTGTGACTGTTAGGAATTATAAATGTCAGGACCGACTACTTGATAAGTTTCTTTAGCACAGCAATGAAGACCTGGCGTGTATCCACCTTTAGCTTTTACACAGAACTCTTTCATCACAAAATTGGATGATGTAAATGGCAGCATCTGGTGTGACATTAAAAAAAAAAAAACCAAAAAAACTTGTTGGACAATGCAGCTGGGTGGGAAAAGTGAATGTCGAGCGTGCCCTAGGGCGGTCAATGCGACTACGGCTTCACTGCCACAACCATTTTTATACAGAACAGCAGAAAAATACCAGCTTTTACACAGTTTCAAAAGGGGTTTTCATTTGTGAACTCGTGCTTGAAATTATGATTGTCAATGTCACTATGTTGGTGAAAGTCATGTAAAACAAATTCATGCAACCTGCCATTATGGTGGCTAATGTATCATTTAGCAAACTGCAGCAAGTGTACTATTTCGATTTAGCTCACTAACTTGGCATGCAATAAATTAAAAATGCGTCAGTCAGTATTGCCAAGTCCTTAAAATAAGCAGTATTGATTGTGCAATGTTGACCGTAGCCCTGTTTAAAACATGTACAGTGAAGAACAACCCATGGGTTCCACAGAAAATTAACATGGAACTACAAATAGGTAGGGGTGGGGAAGCGGGGGTTTTTCACCGTACTTCCAAGGCACACATGCAAATAAAGTTTGACAGGCACTTAAAAGGTTGAAGATTTCTCATGTCGGAAAATGACTGATGAATCTCTTGGCCTAATATTTCACCAGGGGTTGGTCTGAGCAGCACGACCCAAAGTATGCTGAGTCGACCCATGCAGAGGAAACTGGTCACTCTGGTCCACTGCCAGCTAGTGGAAGAGGAGGGCCGCGTCCGGGCCATGAGGGCCGCCCGCTCTCTGGGTGAGCGAACGGTTACGGAGCTCATCTTGCAGCACCAGAACCCCCAGCAGTTGTCCTCCAACCTGTGGGCTGCTGTCCGTGCGCGTGGGTGTCAGTTTCTTGGCCCAGGTAGATTGCCCGCCACTACAGCACCCCTACCCCGCCAAAAAAACCCAAAACAAAAACCGACTGATGTCTAATTTTGATCATTTCTCCAAGCGATGCAAGAAGAGGCCCTGAAACTGGTCCTCCTTGCACTGGAGGACGGCTCGGCTCTGTCTCGGAAGGTTTTGGTTCTCTTTGTGGTCCAGAGGCTTGAACCTCGCTTTCCACAGGCCTCCAAGACGAGCATCGGCCATGTGGTGCAGCTCCTCTACAGGGCCTCCTGCTTCAAGGTATGCCAGTGAAACTTTTTTTTTTCAGTTTCTTCAGTACAACAATTTTGTTCTTTTGAGTATCATTCTTTGGTCCAGTGAATATTCTGGTCATTCGTAGTACCGTAACGGCTGAGAAAAACGGACACGGTTAAAAAGAATGTATGTTCTTCTATGACTGTCTAGGTGACCAAACGTGACGAAGATTCATCCCTCATGCAACTTAAGGAGGAGTTCCGTACTTACGAGGCTCTGCGGCGCGAGCACGACTCCCAGATCGTGCAAATTGCCATGGAGGGCGGCTTGCGCATCGCACCCGACCAGTGGTCTTCTCTCTTATATGGCGACCAGTCGCACAAATCACACATGCAGTCTATCATAGATAAGGTGTGTTCCCTTGTGGTGTACTTAAAAGTACTGTATTTGCCCCTTCTTAAATTTGAATTTTTTTCGCCGAGTTTCTCTGACCGTGGTTCGTTGGCGTCCTCGAACGCTTTAGAAGAGATGTCACTTGCTTTAGTTTTCATCTTGAATTTCTTTGGATTAGGGTATTTTGTTGCAGTTTAAGAGATTTTTTGGCCCACTTCTTTTTTGTCAGATCCATTCTAAGCGGTTTTGGGTGGTGGAACTCAAGCTTGGGTGTGGTCCGTGAAAAGTAACTCAGCTTTCCCAAAAAATGTGATGAACCAGTTATTCATGACTTGACAAGGGATTGGCGGGTGCTTTCTTTCACTCGGCCAAAGTAGCTTTGAATATTTTTTTTTCTTTCATCTATAATGTCACCATTTACAAACTGCGTTTTGTTATTTAATTGGATTATATTTGTCCGATGTTTGCATTTGTTTGATGCTTTTAAACATTACAGCATTAATAAGATAAAAAAAGGAATTTGAGAAGGAGGCAATTTTTTTTCCACGGTACTGAACACACTTACAATGTTTTGCATGTTTTTCAAAGCGTATTTGATAAGGCGGCCTGCCAAGCATAAAAGCACTGACGCGTTGACTCCCTGTTTCCGTGTGACCTACATAGCTGCAGACCCCAGCGTCCTTTGCCCAGAGTGTCCAAGAGCTCACAATTGCCCTGCAGAGGACTGGAGACCCAGCCAACCTTAACAGGCTGCGGCCTCACCTTGAACTGCTCGCCAACATTGATCCCAGCCCCGGTAAGAATAAAGCAAAAGCGTTCCAACTATTTGTATCGAGCAAGACAAAATAGCTGAGCTGCGAGCTGAATTGTAAAGTACCGTCCAGGTATGAAATTGTACGATTAAAACATAATCCCCGCTTTGCAAATTTCACACCCAGACGCTCCCCCTCCCACGTGGGAGCAGCTCGAGAAGGGCTTGGTGGCGGTGAAGACGGTCGTGCATGGACTTGTGGACTTCATCCAGAACCACAGCAAGAAAGGAGCTGACCCTCAACAGGTACTCGTTTGTCACTTTATAAAAATGCATACAGTGGTTGTTTTCCATGGAGTAATAAGCAAAATCTGTTTGTAGCCTCCTCAACACAGCAAGTACAAGACGTACATGTGCCGTGACATGAAACTGAAAGGCGGCTGTCCCCGTGGAGCGAGCTGCACCTTTGCTCACTCTCAGGAAGAACTGGAGAAGTCAGTCTCAATTCATTCCATATTGGGGTGGAATATATACATTGCTTTCTCTCTCGAAGTATTTAAACGTCCGTTGTTTTTATTTGTACACATTAGATATCGAAAGATGAATAAGCGCTTGGCAGCTCGCCTCCCCGGTTCAGGCGGCCCAGAAGAGGGACTTTCCCTCGACGTGGCCATGACCAGGAAGCCTTCGCCCCTCACTAACGGGAGCATTGCACCCTCCCTGCCCCAGCTCATCGCTCGCGGTGCAGACACGGTCCCATATGAACTGCTGCGGAAGCCCCTCATGGACGGAGGGAGTCCAAGTGCCCCGGGATCACCACCTGACCTGTGAGTAGAGAAGTTCCGATACTTCTGGATGCATTCTTGCGCAGTCGAGTAAGCCGAGATATTCAAGATCCATCTCTGGCACTGGGAAAAAAAATCATGAATCAAAATCACAACATGCCAGAAAATTTGATGTTTAAAAAAAAAAAAACAAAGCATTTCAAAATATTGGCTTCCAGATTGTCTAGCATTCATAATACTTGTGCACCCGTGGCTGTTGCTGAAGAGGATATTTACTGACCTATAAAGATTTGGACTCACTATTTTCTACTTAGGCTGGACCCTGTGCCCAAGACTGGTATACCTCTGCCACCTCATGCCCTGGCTCACCCGCGGATGGCTCCAGAGCATCTCTCCGGTGTGAAACAAATGCCTGTCGCCCGAGGTTCGCCCGTGTATCCCCAGCAGCAGCTCCCTGAGATGTTTTACTCTGACACGCGACCCCCACCATCTGCTTCCCAGTATGAGCCACCACAGTATCCACCAGGTATGATTTAGCTAAACACGCTAACGCGCATCTGTGTTGCTTCCGTAAACGGACATTTCTTTCCTGATTTTTCAGGGTACCCCTACCAGCAGCCACCGCAGTATGTTTCTCGGGATTACATCCGTAACCCTCCACCCCCTAGCGACTCAGGAGCACCTTACCACGACCCATATCCTGGTTACGGCCCATCAGAGCGCCCTTACCAGTCCCCCCACTCGGGTCCCCCCTTTTCGTACCCTCACCCGTCACACTATGAACGTGTACGCCACGGGGCCTACACTGGCCCGCCGCCTCCCACGCAGCCTTACCCATCTCAGAGGGATGGTCTCGTCAGGATAAGCTCCACGCCATTGGATGTTTCCCCGCAATCAGCCGGACAGACTAACTCCATGTACCACCACGAGCCCAGTGTGCGGGATAGATACCCGGCCGAAAGCTACTACCCACCTGGGGCCCAATCACAAACCATGAGGACTTGTGTCAGGGTGAGCCGTTTTCAATCAGTTGTAGTTCTTGATGTATCCCCGCTCTATCCTGGCTCATCGTTAGGCAGCAATTGCCTTTTATTTATTTTGCTGGGGGGGTTAACTGAATGCCGCACTTACTTACTGTAATGCCCTCTCATGACGGAAGCTGTTTATTGAACACCAGGAGATACAACGCAATGAACACGGTCACGCAGGATCTGCTGTCAGCCACAGCTCACACTCACACAGACTCACCAATGTCACGTCACCCCACCAGACTCTGCTCGTGTGTATACCAATACTACAATTCACACCGTTTTGCAGTGTGACTGTGCAATGATTAATTGATAACTAATTATCAAATTAATCAATATTTTAAAACACAATCTTTTGAGACGCCCTCTTTACTTTTAATTGGCCAAATCTAGGAATTACAGCCTTTTAAGAGTAAATATTCTCAGATTGGTATAGTCCTCCAAGAATTAATTATTAAAATAATCATTAGTTGCAGCCCTCATTCAAATACTTAAATTTTTTTTTTTTTAAAATGTGTTTTCACTGCATGTCATCTTTCAATGTGGTCATCCAGCATTCCAAGCAGTCCAGCAACTTCATGTTTCGTTCCATGTCGCAGGCATCATATGCCGGGTCCCAGCCCAGTCTGGACTATCTCCACCGCCGCCGCCTGGAGCTCCTCTCGCAGCTGGAGGAAAGGAAAGTCATCTCTCCTCCACCCTTTGCCGCCTCCCCTACACTCTCGCACCCGTTTCCCAGCGACTACCCTCCTGAGGTCAGCACCGTGTCAATTTCTTCCTACTGTTAATGATTTCACTTGAGTCGATTCGGTTGCAACACAATGTGATTTGTTTTGTGGGTACTTCTGCAGTATGGCGACGAGAGCTCCAATAGCATCGGGAAATGCAGAGAGCCAGACTACGCTGGCCAATACTCGCCCTGGTCGTGTGATACCATTAGCTCCTACATTGGCTCTAAGGATGCCAAACCCAAAGATGTTATGGTTCCTGATACCATGGACATGATGGTGAGTTGAGAGTACAAACAGAATAAATAGAAAGAAACAACAGAACCCTAAAAAGTTCTTACTGATCTTCATGTCTCCTGTCAGAATGTGGACGCTAAGGTTCTGAGGGAACCATCGCTGGAGGCTCCTCGCAGGGGGGCAGAAGTGAAGGACGACGACCCCATTATTCCATTTGGTCCCCAGCCCACCGTGTCACGCTTTGGTGCCATCTCCCGTACCTCCAAGACGGGTTACCAGACCGGCCCTGTCCAAGCTATGGTCTCCACAACCCAGAACCCAAACTCTAAACACATGTCCATGGCCGGTGCGAGAAAAAAAATGTCATACTATCTCAGCACAAATTTGTTTTCGTCAGCCGCGCGTTAATGTACGATTTCCGTTCCATCAGAATACATGTATGGAAGCCATGCAGGGTGGGGCGGAACCTCGTACCCTTCCCACCAGGCAGCCCAGGACAGAGAACAGTTAAAGATTGAGCTGCAGCAGGTCAACCAGCAGATCAACCAACAGACGCAGATGCAAAGCATGGAGGTTCATGTTCTGTGCAGAATTTTTATTTTTATTTTTTGGAATGATGTCACATGGATGTCGTGCTTTGGCCTTGCATATCTTAAAGGGGAAGTCAAGAGACAAATTATAAAATAGAGTCTATGCCAAGTCAGTCAACAGCCAGCCAAGTCTAAACTCTCCTTTGCGATGTCACACTCGCCAGCCCAGGCCCCTCCTCTTCTAAAGCTTCACACACACAGTCGCAGATGCAACAGTAGAATGTGAGGATGGCAACTCCAAATAGACAAAAATAATACCTGCCTAACAGTGCTAAATCTTTTTTTTTCCAAAATTGATCAAGGGGATAATTGGTAGATTGCTCCACTGTTAAAAAAAAAGTTGCAGCACAAACATAAAGTTCATTATTTATGTATTTATTTTAACACTTGACTTCACTTGTACATATGTATTGTTGCTGTTGGCGAGAAACCTACTTCCGACTTTGGTCAAGTTCATTTTTTTTCCCCCTCACAAAGCCATACTATTGAATTGCCCCCACGTGGGTCTGTTCATTTCACAACCAAATCTAAAAAGTGTTGAAAATAGGTTCCTTCTTGTGTTCACAGTCTGCCAGTAACCCTTTACTGCTGCAGAGAGAAGCCAGTGCCTTAGCAGGCCCGCCGGTGACCAGCAGCCAAGTTCAGGCTGCCGCCGCCGCTCAGTCGCAGCAGGGCCCCAAGTGGCCAACAGGGGGGGCCAGTGCTGCGGCAGTCTCCAGCGAACAGCTAAGCCTGGAGCTCCACCAGGTGGAGAGAGAGATTGGAAAACGCACCCGTGAAATGGCTCTGGTGAGAATACTTTGAACCGTTGTCATTTGGCCATTTACAATGATTCAGATACGTGAGAGCACAGCTGCAGACACCAAAGACCACATGAGTAGCCTGTCGGTCTATTCTCAACAAGTTCACCAGTGAATGGGACGTTGTGATTTTCTTGGAATGGTGTAGAATGCAGAAGTGTTCATTTGAAAATGTAAACATGGCTTTCGACTCATAGAAACAGTGTTGCTATTTGATATTTCCTTCCTATGGGCGCAAAAGTAACATGATCGGGATTATCATTTCATCAATTCGTCAACATTAGAACCACAGACATTTAACACAGCAAAATGTTGATTTGTGAATCCAGGAGAACCAAGTGGCCCACGAGGTCCAGCAGTACAAGATGAAATCGGCTGAGAATGGACAGCCTGAGCACAAGACTCAGCTGGAAGAAATCTCCCTTGCGCTCGGGTAAGTTGAAGCGTGTTTGTATATTCTCACATCTCACTCCCCAAGTGGTCTCTCTCGTCACCTGGCTTCCTTTTTTTTTTTTTTCTTTTTAATGTGGTGAAATGTCTGCGCAGTGAGGTGTCAAACGGCTCCAGTAGTCTGCAAGAAGGTGCAGTGGGCGGGTCCATGCTGTCACTGACAAACAAGACGTCTACGATGAGCCTGTGTGCTGACCCGGTCGGCACGGGCTCAGAAACGCAGAAGAACGGGGTTGTCCATTCCTGCTCTTAAGCAGTACACACACACACACACACACACACAGAAGATGCTCTGTTAAAAAGCATGCACAGGCATACATACACATTCGATTTAGAAGATGAGCAGTATCTGCCGTGATATGTATTTTCTTTCTTTTTGTTCTGTGAATGAGCTTTTTTTTTTTTCTTTTAATAATTAATGACTTTCCTCGCCTGGAAACCAGAGCAAATGTTAACATTTCTTTGTGTGTTTTTGTTGTTCCTTCTCTTTTTTTCCCCCCTTTGAATTCTAGACTTAACAAGGCTCACATTCAGGAAGAGGAACAGGGTGGTGATGGTGACAGTGGCACTGAAAAGGGAATCACTTGTCCCACCTCTGAACGCCCCCCCCCCCACACACACACACACACACACAAACACACTCAACATTCTTATCACATGGCGTGCAAAACAACAATAACAGAAAAACGGTTACCGAGGCAAGCAGCCTCCGGATTCTATCGCCATACTTACGCGTGGAGGAGAGCAGCAACTCGCACGTCAGACCTACCCCCCCCCCCCCCCCGAATTGTTTAAAAAAAAACACAGAAAAGAAAAGTGGTTGCACAGATCCAGATGGTCTGGGAAGGGAAAGAACACCACCTGACTGCCACGAGAAGCATGAAATATTTTATTTTTTTTAATGAATGCATTTTTAGGATGTCTTGTCTTTTTTTTTTTTTGCATACTTAACAGCAGTATATTAAATATTTAATGGAAGCATTCTGTTTTAAAGATTGCATCTTTGTTGATAAGGGAATGTGCTTCTTCCTCACCCACTGTGGTCACAATCTTGCACCCCCCCAAAAAAAAAAACAAAACATAAAGCAAAAGTGCTTTAGCTGAAAGCACGTCCTCAGGCCGACTGCATCCTCCTGCATCAAGGTCAAACTTGACAGATGAGACTTTCCCTCCTCAGAGCTTCTCGTCTGGCCACTCACAAAAAGCCTCCCCATTGGGATGATCTCATCACGTGGTCGCCTAACTTCTATGAAGTTGCCCCCCCTTTTTTATTTTTGGGTTTTCATGCTTTACATTGTTAGGGTTTTGGGGGACAGGGAAGCTCAGGCAGGCTGTTTTGTGTGCACTCCAAACCATCAGGAACTGCCAGGAAATGTTTTCACAGCAGCAGCGTTCACTGCACATATTTCAGAATCATCACATGCTCCAGTGCTGTCATCATCACCACCGCCATCATCACCACTAGGCGAGGCGCTCTGTTACGTTTACTGCCGTCACATGACACAGAGGCCGCCACGGAGTCTGTTGGAGGTGGACGCCAATGTTTTTTTTTGTGTCCGGAGCTCTTCTCGATACCCCCCTGTTTTTAACCCCTCCGCAAAGTGCTACATTTATCGTTTAGGTACACAGCTCACTTATACATACGAGTATGTATACATACATTAATATACTAAAGCACTATTAACGTGCCACCTCTTATTCTACTCGCTCAGCATTTATATTAAATGATCTCTACTTTAGAATCGAGATGTTTTTTTGTTTTGGTTTTTTTTGTTTTGGTTTTGACGGTTTATTTTTCTGTCCACTGGTTGCCAACACAGACTTTATCCTTTCCCAGACGAAGGACTTTCTGTGCGCATTTGACGTGTGTTCACTTAAATCTTTTGTGTTCAAACAAAGATAAGACTATGCTTCCGAAGAAGACAAAAACAATTCTGTAACTTTTGGGGGAGGGAGGGGGAGAATTTTTTTGAGGGGGGACTTTAATGGAGCTTTGTGTGTGTTTGTTGTATTGTAGAAAATGTACCCTCGGTTTTTTCCCCCTTTTTAATTTCCTTTGCCCTCAAATTGTGCTGTAATTGATGAAGATGAGAAAAGCGTTCACATCGCCCCTGAAGAGAATACCCAGCAAGATGACTTAAAGACTGACCTCGGATCATCCTCATATTTCTAAATATTAAGGCCTAAGTGGTATGATGCCGCAATGTCATAATTGCCCCTTTATAAACAATGAAATACTGCCAAAACAATTTTTTTTTCAAGGAACTGTTTTTGGCCCTTTTTTTTTTTTTTTTTTTTTTTGCTTTCTGCAATAGAATGACTGTGACCTGCAAATCAACAGCTGCTGTACTTGGGTAACATTCACAGTCATTTAAAAAAAATTTATGCTCTCCGTTGAGCTGTTTTTGTCACTTTATCAAAGTACAAGTCAACAAAAAAAAAACTCTGCCTGACTGCTCTCCCAACACCTTTTAGTTTGGACGTCATCACATTTGGGGCTTGACCACATCGCGAAAAGCAAGACATGCTGATTTGATGTTTCCGAGGGGAACTGCTGCCTACTGCCCCCTAACTGACATTGCCCAGTTAAATTCCTCAACTCCCTCTCTTTTTTTTTTTTTTTTTTTTTTTTTTAACCTGAGCTGTGTTACCGCTGTTTGAGGCTCGCCTTTTATTTCACTGACTTAGTGGGCAACAAAAATTGCAAAATGATTTATTTTATTTTTTATGATTGCTTCCCTTGTAAAAATAAAAGTTAAAAAAATCTCTTAAATTAAGGTACAGGTTTAATTTCAGCAAGAAAAAAAAAAGGTTTTATATGTATATTATACTCCATTAAGGAATGTCTAGAATTATCTTCCTCCAATGTGGATGTAGCCATTACGACGCCATTTTGACTTTGTAAGAGAATTCACTGTGTGAAAATTGGTTTGCATTTTTGTATAATACAATCTGCTTTTTTGTTTGTTTGTTTGATACGAGCAAGAGGTCAAACTGGAAGTTTGAGGAGGAAAAAAATAAAATGAACCTGTGAAATTTGACACAAAATGTAACTTATATACTACAGTGATTCCGAGTTTAGGGGGGAAAAGATTAAATGAGATTGCTAACTCTTGAGTGTGGGTGTCACTTTATTACAAATCGTCAGAAATCGTGACATTTTGTCAATGCCAAGTGTTCAGTCAATGCATATTTTCAGCCGTGTGACCAAATGAGTCATCGCGATGGGGATTTTATGCCAAAATGAAATTACCTGACTGGTAGTCGAATGGTTAGTGCATCGGGGTTGCACTGCAGAGGGGCAGGGTTTGATTCCAGCTCCAGCCTTCCTGTGTGTTCTCAAGAACATGCATGGCTGTCCGTTTTCTGATCCGATTCGCGTTTAAAATTCACACCGAGGGACAATATGGAGGATTCATTCCGAGACTGGTAGTCGAATGGTGAGTTTGTTGGTCCTGCCCTGCGGAGGTGCAGGGTTTGATTCCGGCCTTCCTGTGCAATCTCAAAAATGTGCAGAGCCATCCATTTTCGAATCCTCTTCTCCGCACAACTATTCGCGCTCACCTTCACACCAGGGAACAATTCACAAAACGCCTGACTCTAGATGGTCGTCTTTTTCAGCCCAAAACAGGTTTTTAGCCGAAAAAAAACAAACGACCATGTATAGTCAGGCGTTTTTCACCGAAAAAAACGACCATATATAGTAAGGCGTTTTTGGCCGAAAAAAACAACCATGTATAGGAAGGCGTTTTTACCCGAAAAAAACGACCATGTATAGTAAGGCGTTTTTAGTCGAAAAAAACGACCATGTATAGTAAGGCGTTTTTAGCCGAAAAAAACGACCATGTATACTAAGGCGTTTTTACCCCAAAAATCGACCATGTGTAGTCAGGCGTTTTGGGCCGAAAAAAACGACCATGTATAGTAAGGCGTTTTTAGCCGAAAAAAATCGACCATGTATAGTACGGCGTTTTTAGACGAAAAAAACGACCATGTATAGTAAGGCATTTTTAGCCGAAAAAAACGACCATGTAGAGTAAGGCGTTTTTAGCCGAAAAAAACGACCATGTATAGTAAGGCGTTTTTAGTCGAAAAAAACGACCATGTATAGTAAGGCGTTTTTAGCCGAAAAAAACGACCATGTATAGTAAGGCGTTTTTAGCCGAAAAAAACGACCATGTATAGTAAGGC